CGCGCGCACCGCAGTAAACGCCAAAAAAGCGTATTGGATGATCGCCCAGAATGCACCAGAAGTGTATACGACCGGAGTATTATGGCGATTCTGGCCGGCGTCCAGTCGTTCTTCTGGATGAACTTCTGTCCCGCCGTGTGGAGACAGCAGCCCATAACGCTCAAGACGGGTCAACGACTGTTCTGCGTTAGGGTCGTCTGACTGGGGATCTTTCTCTTTGGTAGCATCGGTCTGCAGAACCTCAGCTATCCTTGTGATGCCTTCCCATAATACCCATCCCTCACAGGCTTTGCCGCTAATGCCGTTTCCGAGGATCATCTCGGCGAAAATTTCGGCCACCAGGGCGCGTAGACACCCATTCTTCAAGTCTTCTGTCGGTAGCAATAAAGCCAACACTCCGTGGATGAGGAGTTGGCGCCACGCCGACTCGCTTTCGCGCTGCTCGAGGACTGTTGCTGGTGCATCATCGGTCGGAACAGGAGAAAGTGCAGGGTGTGGGTGGAGCGTATGATAGATCAGACGAGGATCTGATACCAGTGAATTTGACGAGGCGGCTTGATTCTTCGCTATTCGGAAAGCTGACAGGGCACAATTAGACTAAGTTCATGCGACAGTCCAGGGTCGGAACTACCTACATGTCAGATGAGCTTCAAGCAGCTCAGGGATCTCGTCTAGTAACAGTGATTCCAGGTCGACTTTCCTGAGGCGTTGTTCCAGACCACGGGTACAGTGAGCGATAATTTGAATCACTTCGTTGACAAATACTTGATCTGGAGTTATCTTCGAGTACCACGTCTGTACGAACTCCTTGATGATCACAGAAATAATACCGTATAACTGAAGATCGACCTCATTTGAGCTTGTCAGAGGTGGTAGCACGTCTCCGATTGGGCGTGGTGTACTGCGTGCTTTCTCGCCGTTTCCAAGTAGTACATTGTGGGAACAGAGAGTACGCCGAATGAATGCTGCGGTTGCTTTGTCCGAAGCAGTATCCACTTGAGTCTTTTGAGTTTCTGTTGGGCGAGTCGTAGCACGAGTATGGTTTTGCAAAGTGCTCCCAGTGGCTCCTGGTATAGACGATATTGGGGTTTGAGAGCTTGGTGGCTGCGGAAGAGGGACGTCAGGATCCCGGCTCATGCTCTCCGTCATCGCAAGGTAATGCTCATGGTCGCATTCACTGAGTAAGATTTGCGACACGTGATAGCGCGCTGCGACGCGGTCTCGATGAAGGTCGTCGTTGAGTTAGATACTGGGTAAAGTGAGCGATGACGACACAAAGCCAACCAGAGTTTCCGTGTTTAGCCGAGCCTTGGCGCGTCTGTTCTTTGTCACACGCGTTGCACAACACCCGCCCTCCGACTAGCAAACCTCACAGCGCCGCTCACTTCAAACATCCAAATGGCAGCACTAAGTCCCGACGGTATGTGGGTAGCCGTTGTTTCTGCTCCTGCTAATCGTTTTGGTAGTGGCGATAATCGATGTGGAGGCGCAACTGAAAGACATCGTACAAAATCTATACAACCTCATCGTGCAAGCTTACGACCACCATGGAAGCAAGACACAGGAAGCCATGAAGCGAGAAATGTACGCAATAGCTCAGGAACATGCGTTGTATGGTGGGCTAATGACATGATAGCCAGTCGCTTATTCAAAATCTGGTAAAATTGGCAAGAACGGCACCTTCGGTGAACATCAACATCCCTCCAGAGGTCATGTCCTATGTAGAAAACTCTAGGAACCCGGACATCTTCACTCGCGAATTTGTTGAGACCGTGCAGCGAATGAACCAGATGTTGTACGGTCGCGTTGACGCTTACCGCGCCCTGCAAGAACAGCTCGCCCTGCACGTCTCAAGCGCGATACCAGAGCTCAAAGACGATGTAAACTCCGTCGTCGAGTCTACAGGTGGCAAAGTTGTCGTCTAGGTGTCTTACCTCTATCAAACAAACGCGACTACCTTGCACGAATCTAGAGTACCTAATTTCCGCAACCACATCATGAATGTTGAGATAGTAAAGACACGTACGGAGGTCAAACCCAAATTGCGAGATCTACCCAAGGACTTCGTTTGAGTAGTTTGTCATGAGTAGCAAATTCTGCGGAACTTTATCTACACATCAGCACTCCAACAGGTGGGGAGGTACCTCAAAGAACACAACACTATTTCAATCTCAGTTTCGTCGACATTTAGGACAGCGGGGAAAGCGTCAGAGGCGTGAATGATGTCACTGGAAAGCGTGACAAGTCGTCAGAAGGGTTGTGCTTTTGGATGAGGATATTGGCAGGGATATTAGTACCCAACACGTTGCTTTGTCCACAGCGCGCCCACACGTAAAAAAGAAACAACAACATCTTTCAATCAGCCAGGTTTCATCGCAGTCATCCCCACTCGCCGCCAGATCCGTTCGCGCCACATCACATACGTCGCTCTTGTTGCCTGAGTTAGAATGGCGCCATGCTTCCTTCAGCCATTTGATACAGCTTTACGCGGTATCTTGTCCCTTACATCCGCGGTTGGACTATCGTTACATAATGTTCGCTTTTGGACACCTGCAGCAAGTTTCGCTCGTTGTAGTATGCGGCTAAGTGTATCGTACGAGGTTAGCTTCGGCACCCATGTTTCGCTGGAAATGAATGCGTACCAGTCGTATCGAAACTGATCACGATATCGCTCTGTACAACGAACTTGACACGTCTGGGTGATGTCGGTTGCATTGTAAGGGTCAAGGTCAAAGCCACTCTTTGTCCTTCTCGGTCGACTCGTTGACTTGTTACATACCCTAGACGTGTGCAAATATGTGGAGAATATCTCCTTGACATATGGATGCATGGAGATTCAATATAACTTCGGTGCAACGGCGCGACACCGTGTGTTAGAGTTTTCGGTCCGACAGTCATAACATTCAATACTGACAGCTTCGCTCAGCTCATGTTGGAACACGACAAACTCTGACCGTCGGACATACAAAGCAGAATTGAGCGAACCCTGATACTGGGAGATACCTATATCATCCATGGTATCATACCTCGGTTGCAAGTCGAGCAATTTGGACGTATTTGAAGACGTGCTCCTCTGCCTAATACCTACTCTTCGGTTTTCTTTGTTGCCCTAACTGTACAATGACTTCAAGTGAAGCTCGTGACCAAACCCGATGGAGATTTCTAGTATAGGCGATGCTTTGTCTATAGCTGCTACCTCTTCGCCGACCTGGTAAGGATGATGCATTGTCATATACGCTCAGTTTCTTTCTCATTATCAGTCACGATGTCTACACAATACAGCAAATATCCTGCTCAGCATTTGCACCGGCCTATATATGGCTTGTGAACACTTCGTTCGTCATTAGTCTTTAGTGGTACCAGCTAGGCGGTGGAGATCCCCATCGAATTTCGAATTATATTTGGTGATGTCTGAAGCGGCTCCAATTCTCGAATGGAGAGTGCATAAAAAATAGCCTGCCTTACCTATAAATATGTTTGTTTGCTCCCAGCGGTCTAGATGTGATCCACTGCACTCAGATCTGAACACTCATCTTCTTTCAACAGCCAAGACAGTAAACCATAGCGACTGAGCACGATGTACGAACGACAACATAACATTTAGGAAACAGTTTCTCATCCAGGCGTAAACAGCCATCAAGACCATGCGAATATAAGCTTTGCTTTGCACGGCGAGCAGCATTTCACTTCCGTCTTGCAAGGCGAGAAAGGAATGAGTGATAATCTTCTATAGGTCACTAATTTGGAAAGAATCTGTCGATAGGCAAAGAATTGACTCTTCAAATATCCTGATGCGGCGGGTTTTTCACTTCACAATTTTTCACCGACGTTCCGTCATTCACTATATTGCAAGCTACTTAGGTAGGACATGATGGCCTTACAACAACCGCCGACTCCTTCCCCACACTGTCGCGCACAAGCTTTGAACGCTTGGTTCCATTCTATGCTCTTTATCTCGTTATACACAATCAGCGCGTAAAACAAACCGTTTAGCAAATCTCAACTCGCTTTCCTAATACGAGCACTCGACACGAGCAAACGGAACGATAGGCCGATCACGCCAGATTTGGCGGAAAAAAGCTTGAAAATTGTATAAAGACCGCACAAATGTTGTTCTTTTCTAGGCCTTCGTCGACTTTTGCGTCGACATCGCAATGTCGTAATGCACCCACGCTACCGCCGCGACCAGCTACCGCTTCATGTCATTCCCGAGCGCGTTCCACTTCTTCAGAGGCATTCAATCGTCCAAGAGTTCACAGTTTGGTATCCTGGGAGCTTGTTCCCACCGCAAAGCTATCACCACTATCCTCCCCAGCTTCCGTTCCTTCTGCGTCCGCCTCCCATTCTCCACCACCAGAAGAAGAGTCTGTTTCATGGGAGGTCGTCAATGAGGATACCTCAGCGCTGATAGCAGTCCATTCCTACATTCCCTCTCTTGAAGGCTTCTCTCCTGCATCCGCAGAATTATCCCGCTCTGACCCCGAGCACACATCGCTATCCGAATTTGACACAGAGGCTTTCCCATCCCATGCCCATCTGTTCCCTTCATCACCAAACGGTACATGGCGTAATGAGTCACTTCACGCGTTAACACACCCTACGGCCGTTGATTACAAAGCGCTGTGTAACAAGCTCCGTGCGTTAGTTGAAGAAGCATCTGACGAGGTTTCTGGAAGAGTGAATCGAGTTTTTGAGGGGTCTGATGTACCGGCAATACATGACAAAGTCTTGAAGATTATACCCTCAGTTTCGATGCCGGATATGAGGGATCTTGAGCGCGCTGTTGATGCCGGGTGTGAATGGGGATGTGGGTTATTGGAACGGAGACATACAAGGAGTAGAGGGCGGGAAGGGTGAGTGAGGCGCAGAAAACCCCTGCAGCAAGGAAGAAACAAGAGCGCAATTAATATGTCTCTAAGTAAGCGCCGGAGTTTGAAGTGGTGCTAGGAAGATTGAATTCCAACATGGTAATACATTAAATATCTTTGAAGGCTACGCAGCCTATCTACATGAAGCGAATATTTCTCTAATAAACCTTTAATCGTCATCTCAAATCTCCTCGCTCAATCACTAATTTTTTCTAAACCGTGGCCATTCCCATTTTCAACTATTCATCTCGGTGAATACTTCCAGCGCGTTGACGCTGGGCAGGATGCGGGTGTGCGAGTGCCTCCTCATCACGAGGGCCGCCAGCACCGCCTTCCATAGGTCCACCAGCCTTCATGCCACTCGGCGTTCCACCGAAGCTGACAAGCACCGAGGGATTGTCTGCCGTTAGGGCATCTAGAACATCTAGCTCGTGTGCTGTGAACCATTTTGGCATCAAGAAAGTGCGTAGCGGAATAAGCGCGGTGATGAGTACGGGAAATCCGATAGCGGCGATAGTTTGCGAAATAGCAACTGTGCATGCGACACCAAAGATCTGGATGCCAATGAAAAGTCCGATCTTCTTGCGGGAGACGGTATTTAGCGGGTTATCGCGTTGGATAAAACGCTTTTCGGACATGAGGTAGAGGGTCTTGGCGACGATACCGTTAGATTCGATTGAACCCCACTGCAGAAGAGTTAGCATGTTGAAGGAACGAGTGGCGGTAGAGGTACGTACACCGACAACGAAGAACACACCGGCGAAGACGGCGGCAGGCATAGTGTGTAACACCGTGAGCAAAGGACCGGTCATAGTACCCCAAATAGCCATGCCCATCAAGAAGTGACTGACACGCTGTTCAACAACGGCGGTAGCCTCTATAAATGGCTTACGGATTTCTCCGCCATCCTCCGTTTTGGTGACTTCAAGTTTCGTTTCGTAAACTGTCAAAGAGTCGGTATGCACAGGTGCTTGCGGTACGAGACCGTTGGGAAGGGGAAGGCCAATAACACCGCCAACAAAGCATGTGCAGCCGAGAAGGAAGAAATCCCAGTGGAAGCCAGCGGGCTTTTTCAGAGGATATTGACGGGCTTGTGCTGTAAGAGATGAAACATTCTATCGTGGTAGATTAGCATGTATCATTTTTGGAACGGGTACAAAACTTACGTGGTCGTAGTAGAAAAGCAGCATCATCAGGAAACCAAATGGCAATGCTGCAAATACCCACTTGACGTCCAGATTCCAGAAGTCAATCACCCAATTTCTGTCCTGCGTCGGCTCAAAGGCGCCTGTAATAGGGACTCGGTACAGGCCAGTATTCTCCAAACGTCCGGGGATGTGTGAGAAGCCGACCCAGAACAAAGTTGGAAAGACGAAGGAATAGTCAGCGAGGATACCACGGACGCCTGGACCAAACAATGTACTTCCTCCAAGCTTCTCGAGGCCGTATACGGAGGCAAAGTAGCAGATGGCGATAACGATGGAAAGGTAGCCGCCATCGAATTCGGAAACTTCGAAGAGGTAAACCAGTTCTTCCACACCCTTGACTATGGATGTGTCAGCTATGTAACTATGTTTGGCTAGTTGCTAGATACGTACTGCAATAGATAATTCCGACATACATGCCGAATGTCTCACTTGAGAAGTCGGTAACATAAGCCATGTAGTCACTAAAGTTGCCGAAGGATACGATCCAGTGGAAGATGGCAGCCCAGATACCGACCCATGCGGTAAAGGCTGGATAGATGGGAGGATCATACTGAGTGATAATGTCGAAGATGGTGTAGTTGAAGAGGGCGATAAGACCAGTGACGCCCACAATGGTGAGAGGTTGGCAAGCGAAGAGGCTGAAGACCATTGCTGCTAAAGCGGAGGCGAAGAGAGCTTCATTGATACCGAAGAACTCGCCAGTTCGGCGGTACATGTCGAGCGTGAAAGCGATAGCAGGTAGAACACTGGATCTGTAAGTACATGTCTTGAGCATTCCACTGAGTAGACTTACTTGACGAAGTACATACGAACTGTACTAGCAAAGACTCGATAGGTAAGTGCATCGGTGATATCACTCCAGTAGTATGGTAATCTGCGTTTGACATCGTGATACATGCCACGTCCGGGTTGTAAAATGCGCCATCTCTGCCATCCTTTCGCGCCCTGGAAGGTGTATGATTCGTGTGTCGCGGTTCTTTCCAATCTCTCCTTGTTACTCGAATCTTTGGCGTCTGACGACTCCATTATGATGAGGGTGGGGGGTTGCACTAATAAAACGACAGATGTGTAAGAGATGCGAAGCCGCACAAATTGAAGTTGAAGGGTACCAATCGGTACAAGTGATATGTAAATAGCTTGATTCAGACCCTGACCGCCCAGTCTATATACGCGGAGGCAAGTCCAATTACAAGACCCGGCGCACTACGATAAACAATGCCATAGCATCGCTTGGCATTTGTGGAGACGGGTTTTCGCCGTTGAGAGACGAACTGCTTGCGCATTGAGTTGTTCGATAGCAACCTTCGCCATCGTAGATACAGATGTACAGATAATTGCGAAAGCTCATCTGATGAGACCGCCTCTGCGCTTTCTACAATGCTTTGTTGTTCTGTCGCGATAGTCACGTCTTCTGTTGAGGCAACGTTTGGTTGTTCGGTGACGTCTGCCGGAATGGAGAGCATGGAGCATGTAGTTAGTGTGACGGCTAGTTCCCGTGCCATGCTGGGACCACCATCAGCCCTGCGGCTTTTTTCTGACTGCCCAGGCATCATCGAGCAGCATCTTCGATAACCTAGAGCAACGTGCCTACCACGAACCGACTTTGCGACTGCAACCAACGTTCGAGTGGCTACGTGCAGCCGCAGCAATTCTTCTGATTGGTTGAGATATTGTCTGCACGCCAAAATGACGCGCATTCGTCGCCGAGTGTATGACTGAAGCCAAGCACCATACCGCACCTGGTTAAGAGCGTTCCTAATCAAACTCCGGCTTCATCTGCTGCTTGAGCAGAATTTCCATCAATATCGTCACGGTTCCGCGTTCCACCATCGCGGCATATAGAAGCCGTGTACAGTGTTGCGACACTGCGACTTTCGACCCGGATATACTTCGGACAGCTTGTTCAGTCCATGAAAGCTCCGACATTTGGACGGATGCGCCTCTTTCTCTTACCTCACAGACGTCTTGTTACCTCACGCCCATAGCGAATCTTGTTTCGCGTCCTGAGTGGTTTTCATTATACGGAGCTACCTCCGCAGTAATTTTCCTAGTGGACATCGTGGTAGAGCTTGTTATATCACACATCTGCTCGCGGACTGCTCAAGCTTCTTAGCGTCCGGTGTCAAGTCCGCAGATCTAATCAATTTAGCGAGGTACTGTCGAGGCATTCCCTTAAGATGAACGGCCTCCAGGATATCGATGGGCTTTCCGAATGCATCGGTCGGGCCATCCAGGACCATCTTGCCAGATTGAACATCAATATCGCGTGGCCACAGCTCGACAACCTTGACCATCCCATCCTTCGCGTGGAGGCTTTCCTCGAAGAGGCCGATGCGAACCATGCAACAAGAGCGCAGTCCGAGAGGGTCGCGTCGGTACGTTTATGCTCCCACCACACCTAAACTGCTCGTGTGCAGTAGCGTATGCTTACACGTCCGTAGAGAACCGTCGATCTGGCGAGTATGAGAACGCCGGCCCCCACACAAAGTCCAATGCCGGTAGATTCTAACGACTATGAGGAGTCATCGTCGATGGACGAGTCTAATCCCCGGGACGACCCGTACCCATCGGAACAACACTCCCGCGATACCCGTAGAAAAGGTACTGGCGGTCTGAGGGTGTCGCAGAACCAGTCCTCTTTCCAAGAAGATTTGACCGAGCACCAACGCCAAATGCAGGTGGATAGCCGAAGCTTTCCCAAGCGGAAAAAGGTACGTTGACTTCGCCAGGCGATATCGTATTTCCCGCCAATCGCTGGAATCTCATCGAAGAATCATCGGGTTGTTGTTGCATGCCTCTACCAGCGTTCCACGTCCGAAGAAGCTCGTGTCTCTAGGCCATACCAGCACCAGAAAGTATCTTAGAGGTCTTTGGCTGACCATTCGCAGGTAGCGTCTGATAAGTTTGTCTTCCAGCCTTCCACTCTAGACAAGCTTATCATCGGAATTTGGGAGCAAGTACACAGTACACTCAACCTCGACCCGAAAGCTATATTCGAACAGTTCCAGGTATCTCCCAATGGATCTTCCATGGGTGTGGTTCGACAAACGCAAACGGAAGAGCCATCAGCAGCCATTACCACTTCGAACACGAAATCCGAATCCTTCAGTCAGATGAATGTTTTCTGTCGCAAGGTCACACAAGCGAGTCGTGTGTGCCGGTCAATAGAAATGATTGTACAAGCTCGCTGGGTCGAGCTCTTTGAGGAGCAGGTACAATATCGGAGCCAATCGAGGCCTGACCTGTCTACGACAAAGCACAGGAAAGCTGTGTTTATGGAAGCGTGCCAGGACTTCGACTGGTCTGAGTAGGTCCCAATACTTGCCATCGCGCACGGTACATCGCATTCGCTAACCGCCATACGATAACAGAAAGGAATTGCGCAACAAAATGGCCATCTGGCGTGGTTACAAGGAAGTAAAAGACGCAGCGGGTTGGGCTGCACTTGTCTTCGCTGGCATGGGCATTTATCGATTCTGTAAATACCGAGTGGGCTTTGATAAAGATGCGATGCGCCGGCTACGGAACCTGAGAAAACGTCTCGAAGTCGCAGCCGATACCCTACATCCCCACTGGCGCCAGTTGTTGTCGATCGTGGGCGAATCGCAAACCCTCGAATACCCTGGACACCCGCACGATTGGGTTGTTTTTGAGGACGGGTCGGATCCCGTACCCTTGCGCCAAACATATCAGCTTCACGATCCATATTTTGCTTTTGAACACATCGACGAGTCAATCATTGATGAATCGGTCTGGGGATGCGAAGACCCACGATGGACGCCACAATCGAACGCTGTCGCTAGACCAGGTGGAGTGTACATCTGCGCTTTGTGCAACGAGCCACAATCCGACAACCCACAGGACAACTCATGTTTCTGTTTTCCAACCCTTTTTGGTTGTGTAAAGCGAAAGCCACCACCCGTTCAAATTGTCAGGACGCCGGACGGCAGAAATAATGGCCTCGTAGCGTTGACGTCGTTCGATCGGGGAACGGCCGTCGGCGAGCTCGTTGGATTGATAACAAACGGAGTCAGACATCTTGACGTGTTGGACAGTTCAACACCCTTGGCTAATTATCAGATCTGGCAAGGCAGAGCAGGAAATTTCACGCGCTTCATCAACCATAGCTGTAAGCCGAACTCGCAATCCTCCACTTTTACCTGGCTGGACACACAAAGGGTGGTATTGGTCAGTAAGGGGATAGACGCAGGAAAGGAGATTACATTAGATTATGGGGACAAGTATTGGGCTGGGTTAGATAAGAGCTGTCTTTGTGGGGAGAGTTGCTGTAGGTATAAAAGAGATGGACGGGTGAGATAGGCTCTAGGTCGGCAGTTAGCTCTGCAAAGCATCAAAGTATAGCTCCGTCTCCAACAATCGATCGCACCCGTTGTAGACATCTAGGCCATATAACTCGCAAAGTTTTGACCCAGTGCGAATCCGAAAGCAGAAGCTTCCGTAGCCGTATCGATAAGACTAGCGCGATTGATCCCTGCACAAAATTTCGGAGACAACTCGAACTTGAGCCGTCGACATACATGCGAAACATCAACCACAATCATGGCGACCTCCGATTACAGTGATTCTGGTGCATCCGACCAGGAAATTCTCGAGGCACAATCCGGAGCTAGGAAGAGAAGGAGACTGTCGCCGACCGAGGATGTAAGCTCGGCTTCCGAAGCTGAAGTTGTCCAACCACTACCAGTCGCAGCCTCATCAATCTCGCGCATCAAAGCAAAGCAGCAAAACGCGTCGGCAAACGATGCCAAATCCGCCGGATCTGTTGGAACCACACCGAAAACCAATCCTAAACTGGATTTCGCGTCACTCAATGTAGCGCCATGGCTCGTCAAGTCGCTCGCAAGCATGGAGATCAAGCGCCCAACTGGCATCCAAGCCTCCTGTATTCCTGAGATTCTCAAGGGGAAAGACTGTATCGGTGGCTCAAGAACTGGTACAGGTAAAACTATAGCATTTTCGTTACCGATTCTGCAGAAATGGGCGGAGGATCCTAGTGGTATCTTCGCCGTTATTGTCACACCGACCCGCGAGCTCGCGATCCAGATCTACGAGCAAGTGAAAGCAATTTCAGCGCCACAATCAATGAAACCCATTCTGATTACCGGAGGCTCAGACCAGCGCTCCCAAGCCATCGCTCTGGCCTCACGACCCCACGTCGTCATTGCAACACCAGGCCGGCTAGCAGAGCACATCCGCACCTCGGGCGAGGACACAATCTGTGGTCTCCGTCGCGTGCGCTTTGTTGTCTTTGATGAAGCCGATCGTCTACTCGCTCCAGGCAAAGGCTCCATGCTGCCCGATCTCGAGACCTGTTTATCCGCTCTACCTCCCAAGGAAACACGACAAACCCTTCTATTTACTGCCACCGTGACACCCGAGGTCCTGGCACTCAAATCCCAGCCCCGAGCTCCAGGCCGTCTTCCAATCTTCGTTTCCGAGGTCGATACCGAGGATTTAGCAATTCCACCAAGACTGCAGCAAAAGTACCTTCAAACGCCAGTTACGCACAAGGAATGTTATCTTCACGTCTTGTTGAACACACCAGAGAATAGCAAAAAGAGTGTCATTATATTCTGCAATCGTACAAAGACAGCCACGCTCCTGGAGTACATGCTGCGCCTCCTTGATCACCGCGTCACAGCACTGCACTCTGGTCTCAAGCAAAACGATCGTGTGGGTAACCTCGCTAGGTTCCGTGCGCAGGCTGCTAGGATACTCGTTGCTACTGATGTTGCGGCCCGTGGTTTGGATATTCCAGAGGTGGCGCTTGTTATCAACTTCGATGTGCCCCGTGATCCGGATGATTACATCCATCGTGTCGGTCGTACGGCGCGTGCTGGGAGGGTTGGTACGAGTATCACTTTGATTGGACAGAGGGATGTAGAGCTTGTACTGGCGATTGAGTCGCGTGTGGGAAAGAAGATGGATGAGTTTGAGGAGGAGGGTGTTAGCGTTGAAGGCAGAGTCGTCCGAGATGCGCTCAAGCCTGTAACTGAGAAGAAGCGCGAAGCTTTGTTGAGTATAGAGGAGGGCAGAGATGTAATGGGCAAGCGACAGGTGGGCATGAAGAAGAAGCGGGCGGAGTAGACGTAGCGACTCCCAAGATGATCCTAGGGGGTAGAGCTCTTGTATGAATCAGGCGAACATTTTCAGGCTATACTTCGCTAATCACGACACTTGGTTGGTAGTAGATGCAAAAACATATGCTCATTACGCTAGAACGCTGTAAAAACAACAACCTATGCTACTCACGGTGACCCTCTTCTTGGCCTGAATACCGTGTTGAAGTTCTTCTGCGTGACAAACCACGCGTTATGTGTCTTCCACTCAGCACCGGGTTGTTCAAGCTCAATCTCGAATCTACGCAAGAAGCTTGGCACCAGCTTGTAGATTTCCAAGAGGCTGATGTTCTTTCCGATACATGTTCTAGCCCCAGCGCCGAACTGCAACATGGTTCCCTTCATTTCCTTGAGTTTGTCCGGGCTAGCCTCAATCCAGCGCTCGGGCCGGAATGTATTAACGTCTACACCAAAAACCTCGGGTCGACGTTGTACGACCCAGGGGTTACAGCCGACAATCGTGCCACCAGGGATGAATTCGCCGCAGATTTGCATGCCCTGTTTAGGCACGACGCGCTCAAGGATGAGACCAGGTGCAGGGTGAAGTCGGAAGGATTCTTGGACGACAGCGTCAAGATAGGTAAGCTTCTGGGCTTCGGGCCAAGAGACTGTCTTGTCGGAACGAGATTCGATAGTTCCGTCTGCTACAGCGGTGTCGAGCTCCTGCATGAGCTTCAGATATACACGTGGGTGCTTGACAAGGAAATAGAAGACAGCTGAAAGCGAGATGGCTGTCGTTTCCGAACCGGCAAAGACCATAGATGTGCAGGTTGATAGGATGCGGTTGTCGTCCATAAACTCGTGATCATGGCTTGCTTGGGCGAACTTGGAGAGCAGGTCGATACCATGAGGGTTGGCCTTTTCGTCGTCGGAAAGACCGAAGCGCTTGATCTTTTCGACTTGGGTAGCGCGCTCACTGGAGCGGTTCAGGGCGAAGAGGGTGACAGGATGAACACGCTTATCTAGACCAATGCGCTGGGCAAAGAGGCTGATGGGGTTCTTCCATAGAAGACGATCGAGGATGGGAATTTGACCGACCTAAAGAGATGTGAGTATGGAAATGATCATGATGGCTTCTGCTTGTAAGGACCTACCGGTGCAACGTAGTCGAAGAACTTGCCCAAGAAGCCGATAATGTTGTCCACGTCCTTGTTTCCTTCGACAAAACCCAGTCGCTTGCTCCACGTCAACTCACCGATGACGTCAAAGGCGAAGAATTGCAACCACTGACTGAAGTTGCAGCTCTGCCCAGTCTTGGCAAACATATCCTCGGTTTTGTCGAGCCAGTATGTGAGTGTGGAGCTAACGAGAGGCTCGTAGTTGACGAGCGAGCTCATGGCGAAGGCGTTGTTGACGCATCGGCGGTACTTTGCGTGAAAGTCTTCGTCGGTGGTGGAGAAGAGAGAGAGGAGCGGCGCTCCCTTGGACACGGCGCCCTGGACAGGGTAAAAGTCAGACTGGAAGAGTTAGCTATCGTCCAGCAGACCTATCTGTATGCACATACCTTGTAGACGCCCTTGTTAAGCCCATAGATAGCTTTGATAGCCTTTGGATCCGCAAACGACAGAACGTTTGGGCCTAACCTGACAATGTCGCCATGTTTGCGATGCAACGCGAGGTTGGTCCATTGATGGTTCTTCTTTGACACATCCCATAACCGCCACCAGTTGGAATACCCGGCCGCCCAATGTCCTGGGTACTTGTTCAGTCCTTTCCAGTACTTGTTGTTGAGTAGATGTGCAATGGTAGTTGTTGCCAGTACAAGCGGCCAGTACCGCACAAGCAGCGGAAGGAGCTCGTTGGCCAGCATGTTGTGTAACCCGATCTAACTTGTAGCGGGAGATGCGTTCCGGGACCCAGGTAACAGTAGACTCGAAGCAAAGTAAGCTGCGAAATTCATATCTGACACGGTCTGGGGCGAGAGCTCATATAAATGGGAACCAGCAGTCGGGCCTGTGCCGTCCCCTTCCCGCACTGCCACGCAGCCGTCTCGGAATCGGAGTGGCCATGGTAACGCGTCTGGGTGCTTGCGCAAGATTGTGTTGGTCGGCAGTTGACAGTTGAGGCGTGATATGATGAGGGTGGGTCCGTGGCTGGACTGGAGCAGCTTGGACGGATCGCGTGGGGACGGTAGCTCCGGGGCGCTTTCGCGGGGTAAACCTCGTCAACACGGAGAGCAACCATCGTTAAAAGCTGCCCATTCGCCTCAGAACTCGGTTATCGCGATACACTCAATCTATCCCTCTCCATGCTATTGGCCAACTTCTCCCTGCTGCACCAGACGACACGGTGCTGGAATCATTCCCATACTCCCTTACATCACCTTTCGTACGAGATGGCGCAGCATCGCCAATGTGCTCTGTGCTATTCTGGAACTGCCGACTATCGTCACTTCAACAGCTAAACCTTGTGTGAGATGATAGCGATGTTGTGTGGACCTGGGAAGCATCGGCAGTTGTATTCGAATGTCATAACTGCAACTGCCGATATCTTGCACGGAGGAATCAGCGCCGAAGCCTCCGGACGCTTCCTGATACGCGCGTCACGTGTCCTCGGGTCGATATTTGGACCCTCGGTTGTCGTGAAGTGGGCGTCTTCAGCAGCCTTTGGGAAACCCTGAGTTACTTTGCATTTTTTCTGTTCAAGAAGATCAAGGCACTCTACAACTTAGTGAGTCTTTGCCCACGTCACCTACAGTGGGTGTCTTTCTAGAAAGATCCGCGCGTCATCGGGATCGTCTTCATGAGAACGAATAAGTAAACATTAGTACGTCTCGCGACCGAGCGGAAGCATCGGTTCCCACGCGTGACAGCGAAATTTGTTATTCGGAGGACCCAGAATCAGCGGCTTGCCGACATTAGCGGTTAACGGTCACTTGCGTCACCATTCCTTTCCATCCTGATATAAGCAACTTGAACTACAGAGTGGAGCACGTGCAAAGAGATGTGAAAAAAGATATGAACTAAGGAGATAGAGACAGGATGATGAGATTACTGAATGAAAGTGAGAGTCAAGGTTCTGTATTGCTGATCTTGAATAGTGGTACCTATTTAGGTACTTATTTGCCATCTACAGCTTATCTGATGCAGAACCAGACTATAGTCATCCTATGCCCCCCGTACAATGTATACATACAAAACAAACCCACGCTAGAGCCCCGACTCGTACGGCATGTTGTTACTTGGTCTGTGCACCGGTAGTCGTACCTAGGTAGTCCATACGCGACTGCTTCGTATCCTTGGACACCCGAATCCTAATTCGTCGTCCACCAGACTGAGGAATATCTTCGTGGTCCTCATAGAGAAGTCGCTAAAATGCCTGAAGGTATCCGCTACTGCGCTAGTTGTTTGTCGTGACCGACACGGTGTTCGTCGTGGTCGTCGAGCAGCTAGCAGAGACACTAATCTCCGCACCCATTGCATTCTAAGCACCGGTGTTGAGAGCAGCAGATGCAGAAACGAAAAGCATCCTTGAATCTACGGTCGAAATATTGTGGGCGCCGTCGCCAACGACTTGCTCGACTCATACGCTATTTCCAGGCTTGAAGAAGTTCGCTTTCATGATTCCTTCCGGAAATTCGTCTGCTCTCTGCTGGGTGTGGTCAGCTTTTGGAGATCCCCAGGATTAACAAAAAAAAAGGAATACATACCTGATTGTCTAATATGGCCGCTGCCGATACCATTCATCATGTCACAATGGTAGTAGTAATGATGCTTAGCTGTTGCTGAAGCACTTTGGGAAAAGGGAATCGTAGCAGGAACGACCATCGCGGTCATTACCGAATCGTCATGGCTACACCACTCGAGGCCAATGAGCTGCATAGATCAATACCACACAAAACTACATTTCTTACTTTTTTTTTTTCCAAATGTTCTGGTCCGTGAGAAGCTTGTGAGAATGATCATGTGTCCAGTACAACCTTAAAAGCCTCAAAAGGAAGCGCTTCCATGTGCCTAATCAAGCGCCAAGCTCTGCAATCAGTATATCCTGAATACTATCATCCACCCATGAAGCTTCTTACAACCCACTGTAAATTGATGGAATGGTGATCTGAGGCATGCGATTGTGGTGTAGCCAATGGCACGCCTTATTCTACAGACAAGGCGGAGCGCAGCCGGACCAGCCGATTACCCGTCTTGACGAAGCACTACACCCTTCGGTTTCCCTCACATCTTCGCAAACAAGACAATGTGTAGCCCAGTTATCGCGTCCTATTGGTGGTCTACTGGCGGAAAGCACCGACATGAGCCGCGTACCCGTCGTCGTGCATGCCATGATGCCTTTGCTGCTTCGTGACATCTGAAGACATAGTGTGTGCATTGCAAAGCTGATGTATATAATAAGCCTAAGAAATCAGTGGGTCTAGGCGAGATCACTCTCGGAGCTTCGAACTTTCGAAAAACGTTTCCAATCCTATCTAGCCATGTTGACAATCAACACCAATCCTGTTCTGCTAGCCGCAATAAACCTATTCTTTTGCAACACATGCTACGCACAAGCCTTGAACGACTCATCCGTACTGGGCTGTTCCCCTCCTATCAGTACCATCGTCAACGGCCACCTACCATTCAACTCGACGGGTACATTTCGTTTAGACCCGGGCTCAGCATTTGACGATCCCTGGTATCTCAGCATTACCATAACCGATAGACGGGGTCCTAACTACGTTCACGGAGACAGCTTGACCTGGCAGGAGAGGGAAACCTTCCTTAGCGTTCCGGATTCACTGACTGAAAATCAGCACGGCAGCCAGACTCAGTACTGCATGTACACATTGCCATCGCTGGATGTGAGGAATCAAGAGGAACATGGAAGCTGCATAGGGGTGCTGAGTAACGCATGCATAGAACATGTGCAGTACAACACGCCGACCATGTTGGACAATCTATGCCCAAGACCATATGAACTCACACAAATATGCGGGTCATATGGGGAACATGTGATAGGTAAATTACATCCACTCTTTGGTCTTCTTCTTGTCGCGATTCTTTGCTAATAGCATGGGAAGGTAGCCCACGAAATTTCTCAAGCACCGAGTGTACTTTGACCAGACTTCCAAACGTCGATCTACCAGAACGTTATCGGACATATGCATATATGAGCACGGCTATAAGGAAAGGCGGAGACGATCGAGAAGGTTACGATGCCTATGACAGGCACGTTAAGGAAGCAGTTCCCACGGTGTTCACCATAAAGGCTCCGGATGGCACCATCGAAACCAAAGTCGTTTGTCTAGCACCGGATAATGTGGTAGAGGGCAGTCGTATCCCTCCAGAATCTGCTGCCAGCCACTTGCGCTCCGGACCTGAGCTCAAAAGAGCCTCGGTCTCCGTGGCTCTTGTGTCGATTTTGTCCTTCATTCTATAAGCCAGGCCTCGTTCTTTCCTTCTTCCAACGACTAATCCGGGTGACTTGCAGTGGTGACAAAAGTTGGAGCCCGGGCCAATCTGATGACAATGCGATATGTCTAAATTGGGGGGAAGCTGGTATAGGAGAAGAAGCAACATAGTCCGCCTTATGTTGCACCTTGTGGAGATGTGCAAACCCACGTGGGTACAGTGGTTACAGAAAGCATTTTGGCGTCACTATATCGAACGTAGATTGGAGGAGCGCTGTTTGCAAAAGTCCTACGTAAGATTAGCTGTCGAATTGGCACAAACCGTACAACAGAGACGGTGATGTTGTTGTCCAGGGGTTTGCCAAGTGATGCATCATGCGAAGGGAGCGAAGTGACGAAACTGTTGGAGTAACTACACGCGATTCTGGCATTGAGATTGCAGTACACTACCATCTGGCCGACAGCTTGCTAGACCATTGTCATCTACACAGTCGTCAGTTTTGACTATTCGGTGAAATGCATCATGGCTAATCGCCGCAAATCATGCATAACTTGTCATATATCGGAGCACTGTACATACTTCTCCGCGGTAGTGCATAGCGACGACGGCTGACGGTATCCGGGCGAGAGAAATATGAGGCTTCGGTGGATACGTCAGCGGCTGCGTAAGAGGGTCTAGATGCCATAGTGTACAAAATAGGAGCGATACTGTTATCCTAGCATGCAAGTCTAGCCGAAACAGCGACCAGTATGGCGAAGCGCCGACAAAGCTCAACAGTTATGCCGTGCATGCGGTCCGCTTGAAAAGGTAATTCAGGTTCCAGGAACATAGCTTGACAAGCGATGACTACCGTTCGTCTGCGGATCATCAGTGGATGCAACCCCCCTTTAGTCTCAACATTGATCGCTGTTTAACCGATGAGGTTGGGGACGACGGGACAGGCATTCCACTAGGAGGACAATCCGATGTCCCCGATGATGATGTTCTGAAGTGTGCATGTTTCTGTAATCTGCAGTTTGGGGGTTCGCGGGCGAGAAGATGGTGTGGTGGATCCAGAGCTACGGTAGCCCGAGCTCCCCGTCACCTTGTCAAGGATGATGGGGGCGCGTACCATATCTCAAGATTCACCCCGCCCGCATCACATCCAGAGATGGTTTAGATGGAAGAAAGTTCTGACCCCTAGCAGACGGGATATACCAACCGTACCGTAAGGACCCTGGTCCCGTTGTTTCTCAACAAGATCTGTCTCGAAGCGAATACAGAACGATGGCCGAAAACGGGGACCTGATGTTTTCAAGGTGTACCTCGCAAATCTAGCGCTGACACCAATGAAGACGCTTGGATAGCGGCAGCGAGCTAGGCACGGCCCAAAAATGTTTTGAAGACAGGGAACTGCGATGTTCGACTTCAGTGCTCGGGGCGGGGAGCATAAGCCACAAGTTTTCGAGGGCTGTTGGGTAAGCAGGGACCACCTTGTGTAACCAGAGTATATAGATGTAGCACCTCGTCCGAGAAGATGGTCAATCAGCGGTTGCGATGGCTTGTGATCCGCCTGCAGCACTGCCTACCGTCACTTCACGAGAGGTGAAAAGTGAGACCTTGCAGTATTGGCTGGGATGAGGACGCTGCGTAGTCAAAGTCGAAGCAAGGAAAAATCTGCAGCGCTTGAGGTAAGGACAACTGCCGCACTCGCAGATGCGCTGGTGAGTACGCTCGAAGCTTGCTTGCGGTGGGTGAGTCATCTAGATCCACGTCGCGATGCAGGGTGCATCCGGCCGTGGCTTCGCCGACATATTCTGAAACAGCCCGGATGAATTACGTGCATGATCAGTCATACTCCATGACGACGCTCTATCACGAGCAAGATATGGTGAATGTTGAAGAACGAAAGTTGCGCGAGGGATACGCCTGGGAAAGGGTTGAAGCGTGGAAGGTCCGAAGGATTCACCCGCTTGATGTCGGCTTAAGTGGGGCACCTGACCCATCGCAACCCCCCTGTCGAGCTGAAAATACAAGAGAAACACCGAGTATCCTTACAACATAGCATCATGCTCAATATGCACGATCCTTTTGGATCATGAAATCGATACCAGTACAAGCAAAAGCATCATGGTAAACGTGGGGCAGGCCGCCACGGCCGCGGCGTATGTATGTTGCCCCGCGTATTCGTTTGCTCTGAGGCGCAGTTCTTATTCCCAGCTGCAGGTCTCGGGGTCGCCTTTGCAGCTTCTGAAACATGGCAATGTGGGATGCTATCGATAAGTCCAACCAGATGGGAGACTACCGGACGACTACTGGATGGTGCTGGGATGGATGGCCACTTTGCGTAATGCTCTCGCTTTGCTTCACTTGAGGATACTCCTCTCCAATCGCGCATTCGTAGACCCGGCAAGCGATCAGTGTTGAAACGGAAACGTCACCTCCGATGCAGTCTTCCTTTTGGGAAGAAGCGACCGTTTCCCCTGACAAGAGTCGCATCGGCCGGAGCGAGATATTGCCAGGTCATTGTGGGTATCACGGGTATCATGAGGCCCGATTGTGTTGGTACAGTAGAGGTAACATCGGCAGCGCCGGACTGATCTGCCAGGCATCGTCACCGCCTGCACAGCCGCAACGTGTTTGTCCACGTGCGCTTCGGCTACGGGCGAGAGTGGCGCAAATGCTTCGACGCCACTTGGGCTTGCTCGTCGCATTCACAGCAATATCGTCATGCGAGCATGTTTGCGCAAACAGGAGTCGCAGAATATCGCATCATGCTTCAGCAGGCGCCGAAGCTACTCGACGATGGGACTCTGGCATGATAAACTTCTGGGCCGTCTGCGGCTCACATGACCGTGGGTTTTTCGGTAGAGCAGGGATTGCAAGCAGGGTTCTATGCCGGCTGATTGGGCTGACTGTTTGCAGCCCATTTTTAGGCTCAAGCAACGTCAACCTGTAGATGGTCCAAGACCACGACGACTACTCCGAGTACACCCACCTTGAAAGTCCTGCTCAGAGACACCCCTTGACAAGCGTTGGGAGCTCGTCCTACTTTTTAACCGCACACCCTCCCGAAAGGGCAGTAAATCCGCTGCTGTGTTTCCTGCATCTGGACGCGCAAGGAAAGCTTCTGGAATGCGTGTGATGTCGCAACTCCAGATCCTCGACGCCCAACTATACGTGTAGTTGCAGGCTTCAGGATGGTGCAATGCTCCGCGTACGGCGTATGCCCACTTGATGCTGCGGTGTCGCGATCACGTTTCTGCAGCCTCACATGCATGGTGAACCGTGAGCGTCGTCTTCAGCTGCCCTGGTGCAAGGCATTATTCGGTCATAGTTGTCGATTGCATTTGCTATTTCCACGAAAGAGGCTGATCGAACGCCTCTTTTGTTGTCATCTCCGTGGTTGCATACCGGAGTAGTCGTTCGCACAACTATGGCAGCCATGAGAGCATCGCAATCTTCGCGCACCTAGAGATCCGCCTACCAACGCGTGCGCAACGCGGTCGCCGTGTCCGTCGGTCAGCTTAGATCCGACTAGACCTGCAGCTGCAGACTCTCGCCATATGCACGTTTAAACAAGCTAGATGCGCAGTGCAGCTAAACGGGGCAGTGTGCATGAAATCCTTGCCGAGCTGTGTGGCCAACGCCGACCCATGATCGTCGCTTGTAAGCTCTTAAGAGATCCCACCCACCACCACTAGTACCCTTCTCTACCCTCCACCTCCCACCTCGCCTTCCCTCCACCTCATTCGCCCGCCCTTCCCTGTCTCTCCTCCTCAATCCAAGGCGCCTCTCGAAAAATTATATCCGCCAGAGACATTTTTCTTATAACCTCTCTTTTGTTCTTTTCTTTGAATCTTTGATAAACCGTCCCATCTAATATCGCAACGTCTCGCACATACCACGAAACACACAATGCCGATCTCGTTACTACCCGCCTCGGCTGCGGCCTTTGCGCCCAGATCAAACGTCAACGTCGTACTAGCCTCCAAGGTCGAGCCATGGTTAACACAAACGCTCAAGAGAGTGAACCGGGTCAAGCGTCCGTTGAACAGCGTCCAGCAACACACGAGGTGTCTCACAGAAACTCTTTCAGGACCCAACGCTATGTGGTCGCTGTGCTCTATCATGGTACCAAAGGCCCCAGATTCGGAACTGCGCAAGGACTCCAACCCACTAGTCGAAGCTCTCTTCAACTACCAGCTTATCCACATTGAGGCCTACGTTGTACACGTCGACATGGTTTCACAACATGAGGTTGCATTCAAGCTTACACCGGAGACCATCGAGGCGCTTATCGAGTACCACAAGGACATCTACTCGGTCGATGTATCTGCCAGCACCTGGGAGTGGGCCGAGAAGGAGCAACAGTTGAAGAAGCTCCAGGATGGATTTGTCCAGGCTGTCAACCGCTACGTATTCCGAACTGGTGTCAAGGCTCTGGAAGGACTCGAGGAGGATGGTGCGGGAGAGCTACTCGAGGGACGAGGTGAGGACGTCAAGAGCGCCATCATGGGCTTGTTCCTCCCGCTCCTTCCTCCTCCTCCCAGGATCGTCGACGTTGTCCGCCCAGCACCACTTCTTCCCAGCTCGCCTGGCTCAGCCAACTGGTGGGTGCCAACACAGCAGTACCAGTCGCACTCAGCCCCGGTCGACCAGTGGAGAGTGGTTCCTTCTACACCCAGCCCGACCATTGCTACCTGCGGTGAAACTGGACAGACGTTCTGGAGCACCATGGGCACCATGGGCTTCGAAGCGATCCAACTTCCGTCACCGACACCCTCGTACAGCCAGCCATACAACTCGACTAGCCCGTATGCGCAGAGTACTAGCCCGTACGCGCCCAGCACGAGCCCGTACACGTCAAGTTCGTACTACAGCCCGCCCCCAGCGTCGGCACCGATTCCAGCCCTTCCTCTGCCGAGCGTGCTAGCCCAGCAGTGCGGGTCAAGCGCCGTGCATGGAGGATTCGGCGGCTTCGGATGGGACACAGGATTCGCGCCACAGTACGCAGCATTCACATAAGCTGGATGACAAGTCAACTGTGGTGCATGCACCTGTTCTCTGTCGATGTTGGGAAGCGTGGACCTGGCCAGTCCCCTTGCCCTTCCCTTTACCGCGCAGGTTGGCCGCGCACCAGCCTTGCGACGCCCGACACGAGACGAATGCGATATTCACGACATGATGTGCAAACATCACTACCAAACCGGCATGGGACGGCGTTTTGTCACTGATTCTTTTTAGCGAGCGTCATTTCTCCTCTCATTCTCGTACATGTCTATTTTTTGATACCTGTTCTTGTCTCTTTGTTTTTAGCGAGCGATTTCTTTTTTGTCACCACAACGGCCGGACCAGGTCTTTTCATTACTTGAATACAGCATCTCTGGGAGGTTTGCATGTCGGGCATTTCAACGGAAGACGGATAAACACAGCCTCACGGCTCACGATGTCAGGAACACTCGGTTTGGGTTTTTGCGATTTTCTGTTTTAATGTCGTTTACACTCCTGGACCGATGCGCTATCTCTTCGTTGAGCCTGTGGCATGCCATGACTCTTACGATCTGACGCGATTCACGTTCACGAATTTGCCTACTCAGCCTGGCATTGAATGCTAGCTGGACATGCTGAGGGGCGGCGACAAAAGTTATACATGCATCTGCGATGCCGCTGTGATAGCTCGTCTCTGCTGCGAAGGAGGACTGGGTCGACACTTGGGAAGCGACTGTGCGGGGTCAAGACACGAGTACGCCCGTGGCGTCTCTGGCTTTTGGGAGGTGGTCCTCTGCTTGCGGAGCAAACACTTCCCGATGGACCTCTGCACTTTTACCGACCTTGATCGACTTGGGATACTGGCTGCACAGAGACTGTAGGTTCATCTCCTACACTTCAAGCTAGTCTTGGAAGAAGCACTCCCCAGTTGAGCTGGGAGCAGTTGAATCGGATGCTGGACAGAAGCAAGCTTCTTTAGCCTTCTAAACTTAATAAAAAACGAAACTTTGAATCCAACAAAAGAATTTTCTAGAAGGGTGCATTGGTGCAGTGATGTATGTGTGCAATAGTGGAGCCGGGCTGGAGCGGATCTGTGGACCATGGTGCTGGGACAAAGTGAGGGTCGATGAGGAGGTCTGGGGCACAAGCGAGGATGATGCAACTGTGCCGCATGCCTCTTTGCGCAACCCATTGGTAGGGCGGAGCGGAAGCCAACGGCGGGACAACGGGGGGAAATGCATGGCGAAATTGGGTGGGCTATCATGTGCTATTACGCTCATCAATCAGGGCGAAGGGGTGTCATGGCGGCATCTTTGTTTTTCACCAGAGTTTGACATGGTCGCGTAACACTTTGGCCGAGGACACGCCTTTGCCTCTGATCTCGAAACATTGTGCCCTTTGCGACGACTCATCTGACCATGCCCGCTGCGCCGCGCGCTTCGTCATAATGCCGCCCGCCAACTCGCCTGTAAGGAAGCCCATTTCCGTCGCCGGCTGCACCGCTCGTGACGGTAACCGCGGTTCAGCGCCCGGACAGCCCAATGTTGAAGAGGCACGACTGACGTAGCTGCACAACAGGACGACCCGGAACCCGCCTTCATCTCGGCCTTGCGTGAACTCGAGAGCCCCGTAAACCACGACGTCCTCAACCTCGCCGCCACGCTGGGCACCCAGACGGACCAGGGAGAAGACGCCATCATCATCGAGGTGCCCGCAGGCCTCAACGCCGACGACGACGACATTGAACGCGCCCACGTGCACTATCTCCGGGCTGCACGCGAGCGGGACCAGGCGCGGTTGAACCGCTCACAGGAGCGATTGCGCCTCTTGGAACGCCAGCGAGACGAGCTCGAGCAGCGTGACCGGCTGAGGAGAGTCATGTCCCGCCTCTCGAGGCTGTCGGACAACAACTATGGCGACCGCGTTCCTAGCCAGAACAGCCTGTACGACTGGTCGCCCGCCAACGATGCCGCTCCTGGAGCGCCCGAGAGCTCCTTGAGGTCGACTGCCATTCTGCAGTCGGCAGGCGTGCGTCGACACCCACGCTTCTCTGCGCGCACCAGAGAAGCCGCGACGACGACGACGGGCAGCGAAGCACCGCCACGCCACGTTTCGCATCGCAGTCTACGGGACATGCTTGCCGCGAGATCGAGCCTCTTCAACGAGTCGTCGGAGCGAGACCGCCAGTCGAGCGCACGCCAGCGATCAAACGAGAACAGAATGTCCCCAATGCTGGAGCAAACTGTCAAGTATCTATCGCGCATACGACACTGCCAATCCGAAGACGAGAGCTGGGAGCGTGCGCGAGACGCCGGCATCCTGACCAAGGACTACTTCTTACAGCACGCAGACTTCGTCGCCGACACGTCGCACATAGCTCCACCCACCGAGACGTCGTGGCTAGCGCCAGGGGCAATACTCTCGGGCTGTCAGCATGCGACGACTATGCCAGCCGTCACCACTTCGTACAGTCGGCACGCGGGGCTCCCACCACCCATCCGGCCGTGGATATGGAACCCCTCCGAAGCCTCGACGAGCCGGACCTCGCACCACTCTGACGCGCAACCGCACCAGGACCGATGGCCGGTCAAGGTCACAATACACGACGTGGACTGGGACCAAATGTCCCTCTCCGCAACCATGGAAGCGTATAACGTACCCTCCCACCCGCATTCGCACACTATCTTCCCCACCAACAACACCACGCCGCCCGTCACACGCACTTCCTCGATAACCACCTACCTCGAAGGCGAAATCCTCGACTTCAACACCCACACCCTCCTCACCGAATCCTTCAAATCAAACGCCGCAAACGACGCCACATACTGGCGCAAGCTGCCGCCCTTCCAGAAGATGAGCGACGAAGACGTCGTCCGCGCACTCACGAGCAAGAAGTGGCTTACCGAAGTCCTTGGCCAGGACTGGATACTCATGCGCTGGAAAGAGCGATGTTTCGTAAAGAGTCTGAACCGCAGCACACCAGATCCCGTTCAACCACCGCCCTCCACCACGATACCCTCTTCGTTCCCTACCGCCGACGCCGGTCCAGCGCCCAATCCCTGGGCGGCGACGGGTTCCGCAAACTACGTCCCCGCCACTTCCAACACCTCTGCACAACCCTCCCCGCAACTCCAACCTTCGCCCTACCGGATAGTCCGCAATGCGCAAACGGGTCGAGCCGAAGTCGAAATCACACCACAACCCCTCTTCAATGCAATAACCAATGATGCAGAACACGCTACCTTTGACGACTCCGGCTGCGGGCTTACAATAAGTGGCTTCTACTACGTTGCGCTTGATCGGAGGAACGGCATGCTGGAGGGATTATATTATGATCCGCAGAGCAGTCCGTATCAGTGTTTGAAGTTAGAAAGTGTGAATGGCGGGCTAAGGAGTGCTTGGGGATTTAGGTGATGCGGCAGAATCGCTGCCTTGAAAAGAGAGTGTCAAGACAACACAGAAGATGGAGTGGGAAGAACGGGACGGGCGTGGAACAATTGCATTGCCATGGAGTTTTGTATTGGATATGGGACTGCACCGCCCATTGAGGCTCTCCTAGATGGATCGGGATCATGTTTTACTTTGTCGCTTATTACAATTTTTGTTAGATGATGTTTGTTCCACAGAAATATCAATATACTACTTTCAGCTCTTACAAGGCCCCCACCGTGAGTAGCCAAGAGTATCCGGGTGGGTCCGTGAATATTCAGTAATACATTGCAGGCCTTAAGACACATAATACGCTGCAGACGCTCTACACGCGTATTTTGTATAGATGTACCAGCAAGCCGCATGCAGTCAAACACTATCCACCAATGATTAGTATTGCATTACAGCCCCGCTTCCGCATGCAGTAAGTCCTGCCGAGTATCGTCATCTTTCGAGACCCTTTCGGCATGCCGATGGGCTACGCGATGGACCCAGCGTAGAGGCGAACACTGAAAGAGTCACCGTAAAGTCATAGTATCCAAGTTCTGGGAGAGATACAAAGCTCGCCGTCAGTCTCGAGTGAATTCCAATCCAGTTCAAACTCAACACATCAGTCCCCATTACTTCCCTAGAAGCATACCTAAACAGAGGTAAGCATTCATCATGGCGTCTCCGGAATACCCCAAAAATCCCGTCAACAAACTCGGTCGTTTAGCAAACCGAGCTGCCTACGACTACGCCACCATTCATACTCTCGTTAACACCTGTCCTATTCTCCACGTCTCCTTTGTCGACCCCGAACACCCCTTCCCCGTTGTCCTACCCATGATAGGTTGCACTGGAAACTTTTCCTCGCCTTCCTCGGACCCGGCAAGCACATCTCAGGATCTTTACATTCATGGCTACGTCTCCGGTCGTATATTCAAGAGCGGGAAGAACGCCGATGGCCAGGGATTACCCATCACAGTCGCAGCTAGTTTTCTCGATGGCCTTGTATTGAGTCTGACGCCTTTCCATAATTCGTGCAACTACCGCTCTGCTGTTGTGTACGGGTATGCGCAGTTGGTGGAAGACCAGGAAGAAGCTCTGTACGCTATGAAGGCCATTACGGATAACATGCTCCCCCAGCGTTGGGACAAGTCTCGCACACCGCCCACACCTGCCGAGCTCAAGTCTACGTCTATCCTGCGTATTAGGATTGAGAGTGCGAGTGCGAAGATAAGAACGGGTGGGCCGAGTGAAGACAGGGCCGATTTAAAGAACGCTGAGCTTGTGAAGAAGACTTGGACAGGTGTCGTGCCGTACTGGGGTACTTGGGGTGAGCCTGTGCCGGGTAAAGAGAATGGATGTGAGGATGTGGAAAGCTACATTGAGGGCTGGAGGATGAAGGAAACAGGACAGGCTCGAGGGTATGCGTTTGAGGCTATCGAGATGGATGGGAAGAAGAAATAAGAAGTGGAATAGGGAGGAAGAAGGTGGAGTTTGGGTGTAGCGGGGGAATTGGAATTTGTGAAGGTTTGCCTTAGGAGTTGGTGCGTTCATTCTGCATGATATCAGTTAGCGTTTTACGCAAAGTTGTTAGAAGTATTGTTTGCTTGATATAACAATGGAATGACCGACGCCTGTTGTCGACCAACAATTCTGCATATCAATCACAATCATGCAAGCAAACAATGTTTGAAAGAAGCATGCGCGTACTGAGTTTGTTTTTGACAAGTACAAGTATGCGCACAAGGCTTCCCTACCCAATCTGTCTGAGCCTAATCTTCGCCTTATACAGGATGTCTTGTATATACCATCCATCCATGTGATCCCATATAAACCTCAACAACATTCAGACGCCTTTGGAGCTTCGCCTAGCAGCCTTGAGGCGGCTTCTTGCTGTACATGCGCCAGTAGTGCACGTTCTCCTCTGCGGTGAACCTCCTCTCCTTTGGCTCGCTAGCCCGGATTTTCTTCTGAATAGATTTTTCCAAGGCCGCATCTTTCGAAGCCTTCGCAGCGAAGAAGGCCTTCTCGTCTGCCTGTTTCTTGGTCGCACGCTTAGCCTTCTCCTGGAGATAGGCCTCGTGACGAGCCTGATTCGCTTCCTCTCGGGCACCGCGTTTGGCAAGCCTCTCCATTTTGCGGAGATAGGAGTCATGCTTCTGGATCGCTATCTTGATGGCATCGTCGAGAACAGGGTTTTGTGCTAGATAGACAGCGAAGTCTTCAGGATCCGGTATCGTGCCTTCCCATACATGCTTGACGAGGCCATTGACGACAATCTTGAAAAGACGCTCGTGACTAGTCTTGAATGCAATGATAGCATCAATGTCTTCTTATGCCGGCGGATCATGTCGAAGAAGAGCTTCGCACTTCTTGTACAAGTGGACAGTGTACTTGTCCATCCCAAGTGCACGAGCTGCAGCGCATACACCTAATGTCTTGGCCATATCCAGCGCGCGAGTAAAAGGAAGCGGCTTCGCAGTGACCTTGACGATGGCTTCAAGATATTCTACCACACGGATTACACCGCTCTCGTCAGTGTCTGCTGGCAGCTCGATAGTACCGTCTTTGAGAATGTCGCCAACCGTTGCAGAAGTTGCGCGAAGCAACGGCTTCGAGATTGTCGTTATAAGCACGCCGTCGATAAAGATCTGGACACGGTCACCCTTGACTAGCATTTGACGGTCGGCGAAGGACCAGTCGCGTATGTCAATGTCTTTGGCTGTGATCTGGGAGGTAGCTACGACAGCAGCTGCGTCTTTCTTCTTCTTGTTGACCTTAGTTTTCGTGTCAAGAAAGATCATATCCCAGACTTTGGCATCGACAGGAATGTATTGAACAGAGGAGTGGGAAATTGGAGGCGTCATGGTTGTTTTCTGTCGCTTTGCGAGTCAAGTAAGTGTTGTTGTAGTTGACACCGGAGTTGAAGATGGTAGTTCGGAGGAAGGTCGTACTGAAGGGGGTGTTCTTCGTGAGCTTGTCGCAAGTCGGAACGATGAAAGAGCGTTTTGTGTTAGCCACCGGAGCTCGATTATCACGGACAGTCCAGATCAACTGTCAGTTGGGTCTAGGCTGTTGAGCGTATGTGTGGAGGGTGGAAGAATTAGAGGACTGTAGGATTAGGGGCTATATAGCAAGAGGAAAATAGTGAACCGCGATTGTGCAATCTCGTGCGACTTGAACAGTGAATTCATTATGTGGTTAGATTAGTCTTCTGCAATGTGAAAGGCCGAGCAAGGTCTGAAGGTGGCGCTGGAGAAAGGCTACAAGATCGAGGTCAGTAAGGTTGGCAAAGACCAGAAATTCACACTTCGTTTGAATAGCTCAAGTTAAAACATCGATTCATATCGTGAGAAAGTGTCTGTAATACAGACTCACTAACTCACATGCTGCTAATAACATGGCTCCAAAACAAATTCACTTTTACTTAGCATCCAATGCCCCCTGGTGCGGCATGATTGGCTTCAGACTCTTGACATGATCCAAGAAACACATGCTGTTCGCGTACCGATTGTTCTCTGGTCCCATGATCGCTGTGTTTTCCGGGTTAAGGAAGTTGTGCGGGAATCCCATGTCGAAGCCGTACGCTGCATCAATCTGCTGGATCTCCTCCAGCGTTAGAACCAGACCAAGAGCCTGAGTATTGCCCTCGAGATGAGAAATCTTGCGACCACCGACAATGGGGAAGACGTACGGCGACTTGTGCATAACATAGGCAAGGGCGACTGAGGTGATCGGCGGCACTGGGCTCTTCGCATTGGCAATGTCCTCGAGAACGTTGCTAACCTTTTCCTCATTGCCGATGATCATCATCTCCATCTTTCGGCCACCGTCTTCTGGGTTTTCTCTTTGCGCCCTTGTCTTGAAGCTTCCACCTCCGATAGCGCCCCAAGGAGCCAAAGCCATGCCTTCATCAAGTGCCATGGGGATGATCTCACGCTCGAACGAACGCTCAGCGGCAGACCAGCGGCCTTGGTAGATTGAGAATTGGCGTAGACCGTGTTGTCTGGCATAGCAGTTTGCTTTGACGACGATCCAGGCTGGAGTGTCGGAGATGCCGAGGTAAAGGACCTTGCGGGAGCTGACGAGGTCGTTGAGCGCATTCATCAGCTCTGGTATAGAGACCGTTGAATCCCAGAGGTGGACATAGTACTAGCAAACAGGTCAGGCACGGTACTAATATGAAGACGCCTCAACTCACAATATCCACATAGGTCGTTCTCAGCGCCTTGAGTGACCGCTCAATACTCGTATACATATTCTTCGCGCTGTTGCCTCCGTAGTTACTCTTGCACCTTGCACCGCCTTCCTTCTCCTTCTCCGTGATCTGCATTCCAGTAAACTTTGTTGCAACCACCATCTCATCTCTAACGTCTCGCTTCTCCATCCACTCTCCAATCCACTGTTCGCTCTCGCCGAATTGATAGTTGACGGCAGTGTCGATGAAGTTGCCGCCTTGCTCGTAGAAGTAATCTAGCATAGCGAAGACCGTCTCTTTACTACATTCGCCGAGGGAAGCCTTCCAAGCCTCTCCAAAGTTCATGGCACCGAGACAGAGAGGTGAGACCCGGACGGCTGCTGTGGGGCTGAGGATACGATGTCTACCCAGGGGAGACACTGGTGCAGTCGGCGTGATGAAAGACATTTTGCTAATGGTTGTGATATAGAACTGACACTATTAGACCGCCTGAGTGGTTACGAAAGGACTTTTGAAGTCATTGCGGCTTTCCTTTATATGCGGCTTAACGCCGTGAGCTCCATGTCTTAACGCCGATGGCATATGCAAATGAGCTGTCAGCCTGGCCGGGCGGACAAGGTCCATCAAACCAGTAGGGTATCGAGACTGATCAACTCAACCCATCTCCTCACCGAACAGCCCTTCTACCCATCCATCTTCGGACCAATCCGCCTCCCACACTGAGCCGTCCTTCCGAGCTTGAGCCGCGAATGCTCCTACCTTCTCTTCAACCACACTGACATCAACACCCAATTCTTTCAGCTTCTCGAAGACGCGGGTAGCAACATCGCCTTCGAACTCCTTGGGTCCGATACCGTAGCCGCATCTGCACAGGAGGATAATCTCGCATAGATATGGCGCGTCGGTCTTGTGATCGACCAGTATGTCAAGCCACTCAAAGATAGCTAGGGTGGGGCATATCACAGTCAGCGACTCGAGGTTTGGGGGTGGTATGATACCGTTGAAGTAGTGGTGTTCATTGAACGTGTTGCGTGCTTCATACAGCAGCACCCCCTGTAAAACCTCCATCTTGGTCAACTTCGAGAACGAGTGAAGACCAGGCACATTTGTGCAACGACCAAAACAACGTCTTGGATCGAAGTGGTTGGAAACTTCATAGTCAATCTTTAGGTACTCCAAGCTTAGAGATACATTTTCCGCGTCACTAAGAGCGCGCGCGATGTACTCGAAGCTGCCACACCAACGCTTGACGGCCGTAGGGCTCCGCACAAACAGTATCTCGAGATGGGTGATAGTCGATTGAGGGAGGTTTTGGAATAAACATGGAAGCTGTTCGTCGTGATATAGATGGGTCTCGCCATGAAGCTCGGCCCAGTCGCTTCGCACGATCAGTGTGTCGATATTCGGATAAGGGGGTAAGAGGCATTGGGCCACTGAATTGGCGAAAGATTCGTGTTCCCCGTAAGCTGCATCTGTAGTACTGTACTCCCGCCATAGATCGATTTCTAGGACTTGCAAAGAATAAAATGGTAATTGCAGCATACGCATGCTCTCACCAAAGATTCTCAGGCGCTTGATGGTGCGGAATTGTGAAAAGCCTGACCAATGGCCTGGTGTATGCTGGACTTTGTCGCCTTCAATTCCATAGAGCGCTCTGTAAATATCCGAAGTGGGTACACATAAATTCTCCTGACAGTATACGTTGACGTGAAGCATGCGAAGGTTGTCGCAAAGTGCGAGAAGGAGCCCAGCTACAGCGTTCGGCAAGCCAATCATTAGTTTGGACCGCCAAACAAACTCCTCCTTGCTCTCGAACGGACTCTCTGTCCCAAACAGATCCAGTCTGTTGACACTCTGAGCTATTTGAAGCAACATTGCAGTGTACATGTTTGTACATATCATGGCTTGATTAAGCACGAGCAAAGTGTTGTCTCCATAGATCGTTGTACTGAACGCCAATTGACGGATCTTGCTTCCCAAGTCTGGTTTCTCAATGAGAGTGCGCACGAGATAAATAGTATTGTCTTCTCGACTGCGGGACAGGTTGATAGTTCGATACAAGAGCTCACCACCAATCACTTTGAAGCGGCGAGAGACCTGAGTAAGACTTCCGAGAGCCTGGTTGTCCCCCTCAAGATATGTGGCTATCTCAAGTAGCAACTCGTCGGGTAGATTATTGATAGAATGAGAGGCGGGTTGAAGGGAATGTTGGCGCGGTTCGCGGTCGAGTTCCTGGGACTTCTGCGGGGTTTCTGTCTCTGGGGACACCATCGTGGAGTGTGGTTTTGGGTGAGTCTCAGTAATGCCGAATCGCTAGAATGGTTAGCGAGGAAGTAAAGTGAGCTGAAATGATTAGGTAGACTTACTTGCGCTACGTTCATATCAGTCTTGCCTGAGAGGTGACTTGCAAGAAGATCTCTGGTTGTTTGGGTCGCGCGAGATTGTGGTCGTTGTGTGGGCCAACCAATGTAGAAGGTGCAAACGCCACGTCAGTCACCTGTTCTTGCAGCGACTCTGTCCGACCCACGAAAACATTTTTTATTTTGGCAGTGAGTCTCTGGCGTACGATGCCCACAAGAAAAGTAATTTGTTCTTCTTCTAGCTAGTTCCCGGAATTGTTGACTAATAAACATTGACCTTTCTACACTTTCTCGCCCGCGACACGGCGAACCCATTGAGCAGTCTCGTCTATCTTGCTAAGGAAAGGACTGTGACTGGACTTGATCCTGGTCACATCGATGTCAGCGCCAGCGGCCTTGGCAATCTGGATCATCCCCTCCTGTGTCTCCGGAGCAATGGCGAGATCTTCTTCACAAAGTAGGTAGCTTGTTGGGATGACTTTCCACGCTGTACCCGTCGCCTTGGCCGCGGCAGACCCAACTCCATGAGTCTTGACAAGCGAGAACCAGTGCTTAGATTCGTTTTCGGGGAGATCTTTGTAGAAGACGTCGGGGTCAGTATAGATCAACTGATTCCCCTCAAGTTTGATCCAGTCCGGAGGCTGGCCTTGGCCCCGGCCTACATCCGAGATACCGACTCCTTCGGGTAAGAGAAAACTGGTGATATAGCCAGTCCTTACGACACCGCCTCTTTTGCCTACCGCTTCCCTTTCCTTCTTGCTCATCCCGACTAACCCAGAGCCGGCAACGAGGCCAGCCCAGCTATGGGGTATCACGATAACATCGTTACCGTCTCCAATAGCTTCTTCAACTAGTGAACGTAGAGCTGTGATATCTTGAGAGAGATCTTCAGGGGGACTGGGGTTGTCGACGGAAGGCATCTGGCGGCAATGAGTTGTGTAACCGAAGGAATTCAATTTCTCCATCAACGGAGCCATGTGCGCAGGGACATGCGCTGATCCGGGAACAAAAACAAGCTGAGGTTTGGACATGCTGAAGGTGTCGTCTGATGACAAACGGGTATGAATTGCTCGAAGAGTCGTGATACTGCTGAACTGCTATCTCAAGAGTCCCAGTAAGTATCCTCATACTTATAATGTTGCATAAGCTTACCGTTAGATAAGCTTAGTCTACGAGACACCCTACCCTCTGCGCTTTACGTAATTCAACTAGGCCTACCTAGGTAGTATAGACGCACGAGCAGAGAGTAGTGCTTGACTAACGGGCCTTTGCGAAGTGCTAAGAATAAATGACCCATCTCTCGCTCATTTCTAATTGAACATGCTCTTTCTTTGCTGCCACAAATTACTGTCAGAGGCGTAGACTATAGCCAGATGTGTACTTTCCGTGTACAAATACAGTTACCTAGGTAGTTAACATTCGCGAGCTCTGTGGACGCTGATCGTAGGTAGCTTCAAACCCGTACCGAATACGACGGGCCTTCTGCGAAACCTTAGTGCCACACTGTAATTTCACATGATGTAGAGTTGTCATTCCCTCAGCGAGTGCGAGCACATATGCAGACAGATGACAGTTCGCAAATGAGACATCTGCGTTTAAGCTCTGCCTTAATGATCAGCGAGACCGCATTACGTTTCAGGATAGTGATGAGAATTCAATGTTTAGTCTAGGCTAACAATGCTTCTAATCCGTCAGCAGCTTACATAAAGTCCGCGTTAACATCTATTTGAGGGTCGCGCTGGCTAAGCGTACAAGCCTCAAGAAAGCAGAGAAGCTCCAATCGCATGCTCGAGCCGAAGTAATCCCTATCTGACACAGGTTGAACGAGACAGTGAGTGTGTGCCGACGGAGCATCGGAGTTCTCGCAGCCCAGGTGGTGTAGAACAGAGGAGACGGCGTTGATCCGAGTAGGTCCGCTGGCCTCTGATTTGCTCAGCACAATCTAGCGTTATAACAAACATTTCGTGCATGAGTGAGCCCTGCACCTCGGCTTTGGCTCTAAGGGGATCGCGGGATTTACTTCCTGTTTCGTTGGGGATTTGCCATGACGTCAGATCGGTCCGCGTCACGCCGCCGATCCAACGACGCATGCCTCGCATTGACGGGAATCACCACGGACGGTCCAGAGCGTCGCAAGCGCGTCTTGTTGTTGTATCGTCACAGTTGCGGAGTCTTGAATCAAGAAAAAGCGATTGAGACCACAAAGGAGGATCTCCAGTTCAAGATGTTGTGTGAGCTAGACAGCGACGTGTCTCCAAGGAATTACGAATTGACAATCAGTTTACGGAACCAGAGCCTTCCGCAAACGTGTTACACGAGCTGAATCAAGCTGGACTTCATTCACTACTTCGGTCAATCTTGAGGATGCTAAATGATCACCGTGATAACATCATTTTCCACAAACCGATACCTAGACCACGCTACGCATCGAACACCAGACCAGCAAATCTTACATTGGTCGTTTCGTCGGTTTTCTCCTATGGCGCCCATCATGGGAAGAAGCTACCGCCACCTAGCTTGTCCCGAAGATCACGCGTCCACCTCGAGCGTAGTCGTTCCACGAGTCGATACCATAGTATTTCAGTATGGATACGTAGGCACATTTTCCCACCCGTTTGCAATCGCAGCCTCTCGTACCACATCATACAGCCTCCTCACTCTTGGTCAGTCAGCTCGAGGCGGTATCGTAGCTCCTCTGCTCAGGAGGAATTGTATCACAGCCTTGTCTCCGCGCTCGAAGGCTATCTCCAATGGCGAACAAGTAAGACCTGGATATTCGAGCTCAGGCCTGTATGCCTTCCCATTTATATCTGCACCAGCATCTAGGACTGCGCCGATGATAGGTATATCGCCATACTGGATGGCACAGCAAAGTGGGTGAGCCTTGAAGGATACAAGTAGACTTTTATTGACACCTACGTTACCTTCATTCAAAAGCGTGTTGACAATATCGGTACTACCTGTGCGGCATGCATTGGCCAAGATATATGGATTGACCTTGTCTCGCGAAGAACACAGAAGCAAGACTGACTTGACGATATCTGTGTTTAAACTCGCAATGGCAGAGTCAAGCCATTCGTTGTATGTTTCTTTAGGTACATAATGGCGAAGCCTCGGGCAAAACTCGACGAGTTCCTCGACAAAGCGGGAGTTACCAGTGTTGACAGCAATGTAGAACGCATCGTCGAAATCGTATCCGTTCCTGCACATATCTCTGCCTCTAGACGTTTTTATGAGCTGATTGAAATGATCCATAACTTCGTTGAAGAGGCCATTGTTGTTCGCGGCCACAGCCATCACTAGTGGACATCGACCGATATATATGCCGGGTATCCAGGTGTTGAGAGGCATCGTTGCTAGCAGAGTCCGCACCAAGTCGAATGCCAGGAATGCCATAGCTGCTACGACCTTTTGCCAATGATCAAGCTCACCGTCGTTATCTATATTCACAAACGACGTACAAAGTGGATGTATGCCCCTAAATCTACCCCACATCATGGTATTGACGCGTGTGGGTTGACAGACTCGCACAAAACCCTCAATCATACTAGTCTCAGTGACTTTCCGATCTTTCTCTGGGATCGCAAGCTCCCGGATCAAGTAGTCGGCCATACGACGAAGCATCTTGAGCAATGGATCGTTGACATCAGAGATCTTGTGAAGATGGATGATTAGGTACTCGGCCATCTTATTTTTGATGACTTCGGGCGTCTTTTCGACAACATTTTCAGGCTGGTGGCTAAGCAAGTCGTCCTCGATTTCGGCGGCGAATGTGCGACATACGCTTCGGAGCTTCCACGTCGAGCTTGGAGATTCGGCGTTGAACTCATGGACGATCATTTTGAATATCTCCGGAGTTAATTCGAGAAGTTCCGTCATGGCTGTGTCGTGGTGAGCTCAGTTGAGGTTCGGAGTTGATCGCGAAGGTGATGCGCAAGGATGATGGCTGATGTGAGGGGAATACAGTGGAAGAGAAAGTGGCCAGAAGACTATGTAAGCACAAATATATAAATTATGCCCTATTGTTGCTTCGGAATAGTTACGTGAAAGAATTGCATCCTGCCTAAAGAAGGCACCAAAGCTTGCTAACTGGATAGCTGTCACTATAAATGCATTCACGGTATGCGAAAGCCGCTGTCATCAAGATTCGGTCTCAGGGAGTGAAACAGAGACATCAACAAAATTGTTTTATTGTTAGCTGATTGGCAGAAATCAGGACGTCTCCTTGCGCGAAGTAACTGTAGAGAGAGGCCGAGGGACGGGGGATGAAGGAGCGTTGAACATCGTTGGATGCCTTCCATGTTTTCTCTGCATGGCTTTCCGATCCATCATCATTAAAGTGAAGTATGCACTTGTATCTGGCTCCAATACTAAACACCGTGGCATCCGCCTAACCCCGATCAAAAATCTTCTCAGGCAGCCAGAGCATAGTAATACCGTCACTTAGCTATCTTGGCTGCTTTAGATGTCTTACTTTTCTTTTTTCGCTCTTCCACAGCCTTCTGGAGGACCTTGAGTATCTTACCTCGAGAGGGCCAAATGCTCTCCGAAGGGACTTTCGCTCCACATTCGATCAAGTAAGCTACCACATCATACTTCTTGATGTGTATGGCGTATTCCAATGATGTGATAGTGGGGCGTCTAGCGATTCGATGAGTAGTCATAGCGTAGTCGATGTCGGCGCCAGCTTCAACCACCTCCCGAACCATATCTACAGTACCTGATCTTATGGAAGCTGCCAGTGCTGACGAGGTACTGCTGCTAGAGTGCAGTTGTACTTGTCCGTATTTGAGAAGCGTCTTGACGATATTGAGGCTGCCCTTTCTACAACCCTGTTCGAAGGTTCTATTGACGATGTGATAGGGGCTGTCCTCGGCTGTAACTTGGAGAAGAGACTTCAGTGACTCATTGTTCTGGCAGTCAATGGCGAGTTTAACCCACTCATGATAAAAAGGCTTGTTTGTGAGGAACTTATAGTCGTGGAGGTATTCAAGCAGGAGGGCTGTCATTTCGGCGTGGTTGTTGGTGATAGAGTGTGAGACACCAACTTGAATGTTGTATATAGAATCGCTGTCGAGCATCTGGTTCCTTTTCCAGATCTTGCTCTTTTCCTGATCCAGGACATCAAGCATAAGTGTGATCATCTCTGAGTCTCCAAGCCGAACAGCAGCTGAGATTGGATAATCCCATACACTCTGTCGAAGATATCTGGGCGCATCAGGTAGCAACCTAGCGACTAGCCCGTAAGCGCGTACGCTTAACGCCGCGATAAATTTCTCATGCCAGTCCAAACCCGAGCCTGGAGATTGGCACTGCTTCTGGCGCCACTCATTCCTAAATGTGAGCCAAGGTTCGTAACAGAGGTCCGGTTCAGAGGTCCATAGCAAGTCCCCGGTGTATCGACACGTGTCTGCCACACAGGCGCAAACTTCGAGTAGGATGTTGCGATCTTGGCAATCATTTTCGGTCTCGAGTTCCTTGGTAACATACTCTACCATCTCTCGTATCTTCGTAAGCAGTTCGAGAAAAACATCGCGTGGATTCTTTACGTGGTATGCGAGGTAATGCTTCATGTTCTCTGGCTCGCTAAGAAGGCGACTTGCGAGATGAGAGCGGAAAGCTCCCATGGGTTGTATGGCTAATATGTTCTCGCTGATCTCTTGATCGAAATTGCCTGGGAAGTCAGTACTGCATACTTACGCAAATGCTAAGAAGGGTGTCTTACGACAGACTCCACGCAGCTTCCAAGATTCGATCACCCCAGCGCCGCTCACGAGATAGTCAATCATGCGTCTAAAGGTCTCCGGGGGGAAATCGAGTAACTCCATCGCGACAAGGAGTTTGCTACTGCTGTATATGAAACTCGAGCAACAAGTTTCGAGTTAGCAGGTTCCAGAGTTCGACGCGACTGGATTACTTACTATATGTGTACTGACTTAACGCTTTCCTTGTGAATTGTTGGAGAGAACGAGTGGGGACTGAAATGGACTAGGAGGCGGCAGCAGAGGGGAAGTTGTGTTTGTCTTATCGCCAAGCATTATTAGCACGTGACCAAAGTAGAGACAGGTACACTCACACGCAAGGCTGGCGCCTGAATCCGATGATGTAATTACAAGTTGACGGTCAAACCAGCGCCCTATCAAAATCAAGGTGTTTGTTTTCCCTCTAAGGGTATAGCTCAAGATGACTTTTGAACGCATGTAAATGTCAAGCTCGCCCGCAAAGCTCTGGGCTAAGAGTGGAGACATTGACCAGGCTCCCCTCATATTTGAAAAGGTAGCGCCTTAATCTTCAAACGAAGACTCGCCCCTGTAATCGCAGATCCTTTTAGCTGGAAATAACCCAAGAAAACCATGCAGTACACTCAAAGCTTGCCCCTCACTTCATGTGACATACCGCAGAATTCTGTGTAGGACGGAAAACCGCGACAGCCGTCTTCCATCCTTTTAAGCTTTATATACTTGTAGCAAAGCATAAGACCTCTCTCATCCCACACATTCGAGATTTGAGGAATATGTGAACCCTTTTCCAGAAGATAGTGAGATATCTTGAAGTTCCGCCTCTTGATCGCGACCAGGATGGCTGTTGTCTGCTTCGATTTCCAAGTAGATACGTAATTCACGTCCGCACCGGCTTCGACAAGGATCTTCACGATGTTCGGGCGCCCTACAACCACAGCCTTGACTAGTGGGGATGAAGCAACTGCCTTGTTGTTGACATCGATGTGGCCGTGATCGAGGAAGAATCGTATTACGTCTTCGCGATTGTGCTCGCACGCTGTCTGATAATCAATCCATCTAACCTTCCAAGCGGAACGGCGTCTGGTGCTCCTGAGTGTAGCAACAGCTCGAATCATTGCAAGGCTGGACCGAGTAATTGCAGTCTTCAAGAAGCGATCCCAAACCTTCGCCGGTATGGCGAATGCATGGCTCTTGTACCAGCCCAACAAAAGATTGAGGAGGTCTTCATCGTTCTGACAGATTGCGGTGACGACTGCATCTCCTATGAAAGAATGCTTCATGGATAGCTTCGAGGGACCTGGATGCACGAATATGCACATGTCCATTATGATAGCATCCCGTGTGCACCTCGGATCATTCGGATCATTCAGGACTGCTGAAATGTTCTCCAGCATTGCCTTCATGACAGCTTTGTGACCAAGCTTCGTTGCAAGCTGCAGGGGTGCACCAAAGATATGGTGGCCCTCAAAGCTTGGTAGTCCCTGCATCAATGCGGGTATACGGGAATGATATCCTAGGCAAATTTCGGCCACCAGCTTATCGAGATGTCCGAATGGGGGATGAGGGTACATCCAGCCTAATGGAAGTCCTGGTGTCTCACGTCTGAAAACCCACCAGAATAGGAGATTTTCATGGGAAAGTTGGAGAGAGTCACAGAGACCTTGTCGCAAAGTTTCCTTTTCGTTTCCTGTATCCTTGTTCATTCCTTTGGCCATGTGGTTGACCATGTCGTTTACCATATTTGGAAGATCGGGATGTGCATCGAGAAGTACTTTGCTTCGATAGTAGAGGTATCGTCCCGAATTCTCACTGAAGATGCGCTGCGTACGATACCCGAATGCCTTGACAGGCTGCTTTGCAAAAACATTATATGTTATAGTGGCTTTGAAGGTACCTTCAGTTTATTAGCTCGTACCAGAAAATAACACACTACTGCCATTTTACTTACGGCAGACTCCACGAAGCTTCCAAGCCCTACGGATACCAGCAAGAGTAACTAGCTCGTGTATGACATTCTCGAATACTTCCGGTGGCATATCGAGGAGCGGCATCTTCGGAGACCGTGCCGATGGTTACTGGTAGCTTCTTATATGCCGTGAAATTTTAATGTTACCGTCAACAAAATGGTTGATCTGATCGTGTTACCTTGGCAGTCTGTAAAGTAGCTTCTGTGCTCCTGAGTCTGGTGTATGCGTAGTGAGTTTGCCTGACGACGATCAAGCTCGGAGGACTGAGAAGAAGAGAAAGTTTCAGGAAGAAGGTAGCTGTTCTAGTACCTTATGTACTCTAGTTGAGTGCTAGCGAGGTGAAGTGGCTCTCGGTGAGTGGTGAGAGAGGTATTCTAAAGGCGATAAGAGGTCCAGGTGAAGGCAGCAACACTCTCGAACAGAAGGCAAGGTTGAATGTGAAATATTAAGGCTTACTCAGGACCAAGCATACCAATCTTACTGTATCAACTTCATCGTCTCTGGGCTTGCAATTCGACATATCCTCACCCGTATCGGCGCAGTACATATCAAATCCACGGCTCACTTCCATGTTGCTCATGCCGGACCCTCTCTCTTACTTTGACGAATACGGCTCCCAATCCCAGCTTCCAATCCCATCTGATCTGGTCCTGACTCTCCAAATACGTCGGAACGTGATCGCCCGTCTCTCAGCTATCTCCAGGTTGAAACTGCTCGAAGCATGGAGGAGTAAATCTTTTACGCCAAATGGGCTGGTTATTGGATGAAAAGAAAGAGGAAACCGCGAAGAACACCACTATTCACGTTCGCATTAGTTACCAATCTCGTGAAGGACAGCCTAGGCTGATGGCATAGCAGGTATAGATTTCATCTCGTGAGTCTCGAGGCAGATCGCGAAAGCCGGCCATACTAATCTCTTAGGGTGTAGCGGGTTGAGACGTAGATCAAGGTGCTCTGATGTAGTTGAGCGAGTGGGTGTGGTGAGTCACTGAAGGAGGGAAGGAGCGATGCCCACATGTCTCGCCAAGTCTGGACCATGAATGCGCTACGCCCAGTTGGGCCAACGTTTGGAGCACTGCTTTCTCCTAGTGGAAGTCTGTTGCGAGGAGCGATTGTACGAAAAGCGGCGACCAGAAGTCTCACTCGAGCAGTTGATTCTGAAGCGCGTCCAAACACGCATCTGTCGTGTAAGGTCTCTAGTGTATCGCAGATGTCCCAAACGCCGTATGCAATGCAGCCTGTATCATGATATAGACCCATATAGACCCATGTACACCATATGATACATTTCCGTCATTGTAATCCGCCCATGCTTTCTGTTCATAAGTCCATCACCTAAACTTGGCGGTTCCTGGCACATCCTTGATCTCCTCAAACTTGGTGCCCATCTTGACGACGCTATATCTGATCAACCTGGGGTCCAGACTCATGGTTCGCCGTAACGCGTGCTGTGCGCGGGCACTCGCATCGAAGCGCATGATGAAGTGGTGGCCGTAGTGGTGTGTGGACTGCAGCTTCTTTGCTGGCTTGGGGAGGAGGAAGGTGCCCCAGTTGGAGACGCCACGGACGACGCCCTGCTGATCGAGGACAATCTTGCCAGCAGTTTTGGCGATTCTACAGGATATCGTGTCAGCGGTGTGCTGGAGGTGGTGGAGTGGTGGGAGGGCGAAATTACTCTTTTACTTCAGAGAGGCGGCCAGGCCGTACCTGCGCCAGTCAGTATTCCCTCATGCAGACAATGCGACACGCAACATACCACTCCTATCATCTCGTACAGCATCTTGCCTCGATTGCGCGGTGTTGTTGCTGACGTCGTGCCTTCCGTCGCGAAAACTGTTCGAAAGCGGCCAACCTTTCCGCAACCGCGGAGGAGCTCCACACCGATGTCCTTGGCGCGTGTTATCACCTCTCCGACTCCCACAAACTTGAAGCTTTCACATTCCCACACACAATCACTGCAAAATGGCTGCCCGGACTTCAATCGCACGCGCTGCGCGCCAATTCACCTCTGCTGCCGCGAGGAGACCATCACCTTTCGTGTGCCAGAGGTGGCAGCAGCAGGCGACTCCGACGCAACGGCTATTCTCGGTATCTGCCGCTCGTACGCACACCTGAAGCTTTGGAAAGCAATTGAATTGCAGGCAGGATCGCTGACTGGGCGCAGTGAAGGAGAAGAAGTACACTGAGGACCATGAGTGGATTGAGATGTCTGCGGACGGCAAGACCTGTACGTTCAGCCTCCCCCACTCCCCCGCATCCCGGGGCGCTCTTGCTATCCAAGCGCACAATGACTGACCTGTCGCGCAGGCACCCTAGGTATCTCAGAATACGCAGCAAAGGCCCTTGGCGACGTAGTCTACATCGAGCTTCCCCAGGTTGAAATGGACGTCAGCGAAGGCGATGCCATTGGCGCTGTCGAGTCAGTCAAGTCTGCTTCAGATATCCTCACACCCATCTCCGGAGTCGTCGCCGAGGTCAACTCGGCGCTAGAGCAGACGCCCGCCAACGTCAACAAGGACCCCGAAGGCGACGCGTGGATTGCAAAGATCACCGTGTCTGGTGAGCCAAGCGGCAAGACCATGACAAAGGAGGAGTACGCTGCTTTTACTGAGGAGTAAATGCTCGAGCAAGAGTTGGGAGGAAGCATCAATGCATGACATGGAGATACCTAGGCGCACACTTCAACACGGAATGCGAAAATAACACAGTCAACAATTCAATTTGCGTATGTCGGCAGGTCATTTGACACGCCTATGAACCAAAAGACCACAAGACGATTGCAAACAGTACTTGGTGTCGCCTGACATCAGCATGTCGTCGCGTCTTGACGTGCATCCTGATGTTGAACCACTCCCTCCTTTGCCCCCTCTCACCAATACGTCTCACTCGTATCCTAACCAGTCCACACCTTAGGTCCTGGGCAAGTGTATGTAGTGATAGCACTGCTGTACGTATCAACCGTGATACCCGGGTCACTCTGTGCCGCGTATCCAGGGATGTTTGCCAGATAATCACCACTTGGCGACGCACTGCCGCTACCCGTCACTTCAATCTGCGCGCACTCGGCATAAAACTGAGGCGTATTGGCCTGGTGGAGAGCAAGCAACTCATGACGAACGAGGTAGTTACCAGGCGCAAGCGACTTGGGAACAACGGATTCCCAGTACAAGTTCTTGAGGACCTTGGCCGTACCCCAGTTACGTCCCGAAAGGGGAGGCGCTGTCATGCCTTCTTGGTCGATCTAGCCGTACCGGTTAACACAAAGGTAAATATGATTGAGATGTGGGAATGCATACCTTGAACCACTTCTTTCCACTGCCATCGCAGCTCTTGAAGTCACCAGAGCATTTGTACATCCAGACCATGACTGGACCCTGCTCGTGCGTCCATTGCTTCCAGTTGGCACGAATCTTTCCGCCCGCAGCTACTTTGGCAGAGAGATCGGCTGATGTGCCACCGTTGCACATGACTTTCTTGTCGTTGACGCTCATTGTGGGGTTGTAGTCGGGCCATTGGCGTTGGATTGTCTTGGGCGAGGAGGCGGGTGAGAAACCTTCGTAACTAGATTACCGATTAGCAGTCAGACTCAATAACTTTGCAGATTTTCACAAAGACAGCTTACCCTGGGTACGTAACTCCGTCGATGACATAGCTGGTGACAGCGCCGTGGGCGGCAGCCTGCGCAGCAAGAAGCGCGGTAGGCAGGAAAACGTTTGAGAACAGCATATTGATTTGATCAGATGTTTGCCTTGAAGGTCGATACGGGTTACATCTTTATTCTTCTCTCGTTCTTATATAGTCCCCAGGCGACCGCACTGTCCGACCTCTACGCCCAATGCTAGCATTCAATATCCCTCATGATCACATTACCACCACCTGCCATTCGTCTCTTTCTGACCAGCCTCGTCACGCCCACTTCACATAGAGGCGATAGTACTACCTCAATATCCATGTAATATACGAAGATGCTGTCGCCGGACCGGTTAAAGACTATTGGCTGCGCAACACTATACATGCTTCGCTAGCGAGCGAGCCTCCATGTCGGCTCTTGGATCCCGATCCATATCGGGACATGATGGGAAGGCGAGCAGTACCCCGGATGTTTAATCTACGTGCCAGAAGTGTGTATACACGGCGTGACAGTGTGAAGTTAGATGGCGCATGCGTTGTCGTGTAAGCAGCGATGTTCTGGAATACAGTGAAGAAAGCCATTTGGAAGACGGAAGAGGCGTCGACAAGGATGAAGATACGTTAATCAGTTGTGCTACCACTTTTGGTACCTGTTCGTCATGGATGGCGCGATCAAAGATCTAGGGATCGGCCATTTTCCCACTGCTGCTTATTCAGGTAACTTTTGGAGAGCCGTAATCCGAGAGACATAGTTGTTGGGGCTGCAATTAACAATCGGAGTCTCGCGTGTACAGAAGCGTGTCTTGTCGTAGCTTGGACCAGCTCCTTCATTTGCACAACAAGAAATAACAACATTTGATGACGTCGATGACGAAGGTAATGAAATTCGCAAGAACGACCTTGGGGAGGTTGGTAAAAGCACCAGGCGCTAGTTGACACGCTAACTGAGTCGACCTTGCCGCCCAGCATTCCTGGCACCAACTCAGTTTCATCAACTTATTTTGCAAAACCAAATGCAAACGGCACATGTGAAGTAAAGGTTGCATTGCGAAAATGACTGTGACCCAAGGCGCGGTCTGGTATCTCTCGCCCTTGCTAAATCCATAACAAACCCCCACCTTGCAGATCATAACAATAACATGTCTAAAAATTCTTTGACGCCTCGATTCCTTTTGCGTCTGCACCATGCATGACTTCTTCATCGTACCGGTCATCACCATCAGTATAAGCGACACTGATATCCGTAATTTCATCACCGACCTCCATCCAAGTGTCACTGCACGCTGGAATAGGACTGATTTTGCATAGTGCCCAGTACGTGATGCTCGCGACAAGGAAACCAGCGAAGAAATTAAGGTCATAGATACGCTTCGCACCAACGGGTACGTCACGACCAATGGCACCTGCAAAGCCGACGACGTTGATGAGAATACCGGCAATGTAGGCTGCGTAACCGCGCCAGTGGAATCCAAGGGTGTAGTAGTATGGACCGGTCTTCTTTCCAGAGTAGAGATCCTTGATCTGAAGGTAGCCCTTTCGGACGACGTAATAGTCGCAGATCATAACACCTGCGATGGAGGAAAGGAAGACTGAGTAGGCAGAGAGGTAGGTCGTGAAGTTGTTGGTATCGGAGAGTAGGTTCCAGGGGCACATCACCAGGCCGACGAGCGCGCAAATGTAACCACCTCGTCTGATGCTAATCCATCGGGGTGCAAGCGCTGTCATGTCAGTTCCCGCACTGATGGAGTTTGCTGCGATGTTTGTGCCGAGTTGAGCGAGAGCAAAGGCTGCGGCAATGCAGAATACCCCAAAACGCTGCGCTGATCCACCCTCGTTCAGGAAAGACTCTAGCAGCTTTAGAGGATCCCAGATAGCCACGCCAAAGATGACAGTCGACGATGATGACACAATGATTCCAATGAATGAGGTAATTGCAAATCCAATAGGAATCGTTAGCAGTTGCGGAAGGAAGGCGTTCGATGGCTTCTTTGCGAAACGGGCAAAGTCAGGGTCGTTAACAATCAAGGTAGCAAAGTTGGCAATGGCGCTCATGATTCCACGGACCATCAACCAGCCAAGCTCAGATCCCTTAGCCGTGCCTTGCTGATGAACGATTGGGCCCAACCCCTTTGCACGAACGATAGCCCAGATGAAGAAGGCAACTCCAGCGGTAGGAACAACGTAGGCTTTTACCGTGAACAAGTGGCGGATCTTGTGTACTGGTGGATAGATGAAAGGTAGCGATCCAGCCCAGAACAAGAAGAAAGATACAAAGGCGACCGTGCTGGTGCCAGAGCCGGCAATGCCGTTGGTGATGCCGCCTGTACCAGGGCCTTCGGAGTCTCGCCAGTTGTTCCAGATGGCGCGGATCATTAGGCGTACACAGGTACCGCCAATCCATGCTTGTACGCCGTACCAGATACTAGCCATGGCCGCGCGGTTGAAGACGGGCCATAATGCTCCCCAAATACCAAAGGATGAGCGGTTGACGACGGGGAAAGAGATATGGTAGGTCGCACCGATACGACCAGTCATGCAGACAAAGCAGGCGGCGATGGAGTAGCCAAGCTGTTGTTGAATCAGCGTATGTCTATATAGTCAGATATCAGATCTCATACCCAAACGCATATCCAGGATTGCCACCATGACAGACCGTCAACGATGTTTGCGGAAGAAATCATCCATGTGTTGATGTTGAAAGAGTCCGCTATACATGATTAGCCCACGTTCATGGTCGGTTTCGAGAGTCCTTGACGTACCAACCCAGAAGCCTACGAAATTCCAAGCACCCCATTGTCGACGCTCCGGTTCGACTGGCTTCAAGTCGTGGTTGAAGAGCATAAGCTGCGCGGTCGTGAGGTTGGGCTCACTCTCGACTGCGAGCTTATCCGCCCAGTAAGCGACCTTTGAATTCTTGACTCTCTCCATGATGAGGCTGTAGAAGAAAAATCCTTCGTCACTTGAATGGTGAACGGTCGAGGTTGCAACAGGCCTTATGAAGCTCTCGCTTCGGCTGCTCGAAGCCGTTGCTTGGTAGGATTGAAGATCCCCGCTCGTATGACGTGGGGGGCTATCAGAAGCGAGTGAAGGTCTCGGTACGCCTAGTCCTGGTGAGGATTGAGGTTGGATGAGTGGTTGGCGTTCGGAATCCACGTTGGGTGGTTCTTGAAGGTAGTCGCAAGGTATATATAAGATATCGAGATGGACGCACTACTGCGTGACGGAGTATTGACGTTCGCCGCTGAAGAGGCTCCCATCTGGGGCATGCTCCATCTTAAATATCAAGAACGACTTCGTGCAGCACAAGATCGACCCTAGATCCACTCCACGCTTAGATACTACCCTGCCTCCGCATCGGAAGTAATTTTGGTTGTGGTCGCTGGCTGGTAGGCCCGTTCCGGTAGTCTTATCTTCAAGTCGCGATAGCCCGCGCGGTATGCTCCACCAAGATGTTCGCTACAGTTTTGCCGCTAGAAGTCCCGACGAACAGCTCGTGTGCTAGCCATCAACACCATGCATAGTCTCGAGGATGCAGGCACTGCAGAATTTGCGTTCTGGGCGCGTGAAGGATGGCATGATGAGTGGGTGAATCTCCGCGGATGACGCAGCGCCATGGTAACAACAGTATCGCGTGCCCACCAGGGGTGTGTACTGAAGTCTTGGGGACTATGCACGTCTGCGCAGCTATCTCCGCGATAGGAGCCACAGGAGCAGAGATTTCCCTACTTTTTGACTCGATAGAAACATGTCACCACAGCCCTGGACCCGGAGAAGCTCTCTATCTTGCAGCAGCCGGCGCCATGATGGTTCGAGGTTGCATCTCTCCGTTCGCTTGAGGGTTTCTAGCTGGGGAGATAAAGGCGATGTGGGGTACAACGGGGCGCTCGCCGCAGCCACTCAGCGGCCGCCATATCCAGTTTACTCGATGACATCGAGTAAACCGTCGGCCTACTTATAACATACCTCACCTGGACATTTCCCAGCCTCACGGCTCAGCTGTGAGTCCTGCCTGGTCATGCGCTTGCACATGCCTTTTGCATGCTGAGGGCCATGGCGCAGGCCGACTTCGCCAGCCTCGATTTCTTCCGGGACTCGTATACCGTTTCAAGCTGTTGGACGGCCAGCATAGCACAGGTTTCTTCGGTGACGCCGCGAGTTGGTGGTGAGATACGCGCATACTCGAATCAGCATGCGATCGACAATGCTATCTTCGACACAACCGCGACGCCATTGTACAGACGTCGCGTCAAGTGTTAGCGATTAATTTCTAAGAAATTGACTACGGCTACACAAAGCATGTGCGAAGACTTTTCGCTCCTCCCAGGCATTGCACGATCCGGAGTCGTGCAGCACGGTCATCACGTGGCTTGCAAACACCACAACCTCGACCTCTAGCTCACTCAAACACCATCTAGCATCTTGCGCGGTATATGCCACCTCTCACGCGGCCTTCCGGGGTTCCCAAGCCCGCGGAACGGATCTCAACACTCCCCATGCCTTCCGCATCCAAGACGATCGGAAACAACATCGAACAGCGGCTATCTGCAGATAAACAAGCCTCAACATCAGATATCACTCCGACTCCATCAAACAAAATGTGCCGGCTAGGGGCTGCTCGTCTATCGGGCCTTCCAAGAAATGCCCCAAATATCATCAGCCTGGCTGCGTGAGGTTGTTTCGGACGCGGCGTGTTTCAACGTCCGCTTGGAGTAATTTCCCGTCTACAGCGACAGGACCACTGAAGATGAAGTTTCTTCAACCAACTGACATTGTTTCGCTTTGATGAGCAGGTGGCGAGATCGTGGCGCGTATGATTAATGACGTTTTAATTCGTGACTATGGTTCATTCTAGACATGCCCAATACCCAATATCCAACGTCGGTAAGCATTAGACGTTATCATGCTCATCCATCCCATCATAGCGAGTTATCCAGAACGCCAGCAGGTAAAATCAAACCAAGCCACCCATTGCTAAATCAGATCATAAGGCATCAACGCGAATTCTTTACCGTCGCCCGGCCATTCTATTACCATCCATTGTTGCTGTGCTTGGGCTTCTTGTGCTTGTCCTCGAGCTTGCTGCCGAGGATCGAGCCTGCTATGGCTCCAATAATGCCGTGGCCGCCCATCTTGTTACCGCCGAAGTAACCAGCTGCACCGCCACCTAGAGCACCCATAAGGCCTCGGTCGCCCTCAGCTTGCATGTTGGGGTCTGTGGCGCCGTGCTGTCCTTGTTGCGGCTGGCCGTAAGCATTCTGGCCTTGCGGGTACTGGTCTTGAGCGTATGCGCCCTGTTGCGGGAACTGCTGCGCTGGGGCCTGGCCTGGGTATTGGCCTTGTGGAGGGTACTGCTGTTGCTGGCCGTATCTGTTGCCGTTAGTACATGAAGTAATATAATTGAAAGGTTGCATCTTACCCCTGCTGTTGCTGGTCATATGGCGCTACTTGTTGTCCATGCTGGAATCCACCGTGAGCCGGGGCACCGTACTGCTGGTTATAGCCCTGCTGTTGGTAGCCCTGCTGCTGCTGGTCGTAGTAGCCCTGGCCTTGTTGCTGAGGTGGGTAGCCCTGCTGCTGGTAACCGCCCTGTTCCCATCCTTGCTGTTGGGGAGGGTATTGGCCTTGAGGCGGGTATTGCTGGTAGCCTTGGTTGTACTGGTCGTAAGGGCCGGACATGATGATTGTGTGAGGTTTGTAGGTTGCAAGAGTAGTTGGTGTTATGGAGCTGAGGAGGGGTCGGGTAATGAGGGGTGGTTGACGTAAGGTTGGGGGCGGATACGGGAATACGAGAGTAATAATGTCGTGAATGAAAGCAGGAGCGTCACGACAGGAACATCACAATCTTATACTACTGACTTACTTGCCGCAGCGCACAACACCATCTGCTGACTACAAGACCTGATGACTGAACGAATCCACCGAATCTTTGGGGCGGAGCACATCCAGCGATATCCGGCTACACTCACTCAGCCTCAGCCACCCAGAGGCCAAGTTCGTCCGGCAGCCACGGCCAGTTCGGCGGGAGCGAACCGTCCACGCCTCAACGCCGCATCATCCGTGGGCTCCTCCGCGCAATGTCATTTTTTCTAGTACTCAGGAACACTACATCTCACGTGTCGCGCATCTCGATGTAGTGTCAGTCGTCTTTCATTTGTTTTGTAACATCCTAGAGAGCGATCACCGCGAAGGCTTGCCTAGCCTCAGGAAACACTCTCTTCCGCCCCCCAGCAAACCTTTGTGCGAAACATTGTGTGCCTCTGTTCTTCCAGGAAATTGGCCTCGGCCGGATATCTGCGAGAAGCCTGGCCAGAAGCACCGCCGCATCACGTCGCGCTACCGAAAAAAGGTACCCAGTGGAGCCCAAAAGTCGACCACGCCATCCGAGGCGCAGCAGTCTCTGCGTTCCTCGGAGAGCGTGTGGCTTGTCGTCATCTGCCGGCTGTACGACCGCAAGGCTGTCCTGCGCATTTCCGCCGAATCCCAGTCGGGCTGCCGGTCATATGCGGGGAATTATTGAAGGAATTAATATCTGCTAACCATCACAATTGCGCTCTAGACATCCAATAACTGTAGTCTGTCGATAGTCTCACGACAAACCCCTGTGGCGTGTGATCGTCCTCGGAAACGGGAGCTGAAACGTGACCATGGCGCTCTGAGACAACTTTAAGACAACCCCCCAAACCTTGCACGACCATTTTCTTCTCAATCAAGGCACATCTTGCCCTATTGAGGGCAATTAAGCGCGCCCAGGATTATGAAATCTCGCCATTTGGAGCGTCCTCGGCATCGCAATTGCTGCTAAACGCTCTGTTATTATCATAGCGTAGTACCCGTACCTTCGCGTCTCCCCAAACTGACATGGTACCAGCAGCGACTCACCACTAGTGTAATTCATGCACTTCTCAAAGGCCACCCCTCCCGCTATTCGCATGAACGTGTCTCGTCTTGAGCGTTCGCCCAGCCTTTCGTTGCACCTTTGCTGACTTTGCTTTCTATTCTGTCCTTCGTTCCGCAGGCGGGCTTGTCGTTGCTAATCACTTACATACATTCGCTACTCCACCCTTTCTTATCGACTTCGCTGGTCGCGGTCTAACACACTTCCGATCACAACATCACCTTCGGTCACGACAACCTTACATCGCTGGACGAGTGTGTGGATTATGTCTGGTGGAGAAATTGAACGGCTGGAAGACTGAGAGGGGCTTTCCCCATTTGACGCCATCGCATACCGGAAGCAATGCCCGCCCCATGGCGCCGCGGGGTGTATGAAAAGGTGGAATATGTTGTAGTGGAAAGGGACGGTGTCCAGTATGAGAGGGGATTGGCGGGAGAAGAGCCTACGGCCACTGTGAACGCAAAACGCGACGAGCCAAGTCCTACAGACGCAGACTACGACAGCGATTCTGATGAAGACGACTACCCTGAGAAGCCGAACATGACAGCTATGACAACAGCATCTCTTACGATACCGACAGGAACTCCAGCTGTAAGGAAGGCGTGCCGATTCAGGGGATTTGACTAATGCAAACAGCTTCTGATTACCATGACTCTCGGTGACGAGCCACAAGCCACACCTGCCCTCGCCGACAATGACCCTACCGAGACCATCGTGATCGCTATGCCACCCCCACCGCCTAGACCTCATCATGATCGCCCTATCTCCCAAACGACTGAGCATTTGCTCATTGCTGCCGGCTCCATTGGTAGGATGAACCGATTGCCTGTGTTGGAATGTATGCTGACATGCTTTAGGTGCGACTATCATCATCGTCATGGTAGTTCTTGCCATGTACACCATGCGCAAGCGAGGTCTTACTTTCAAGGACGTACTTCAACAGGGAAAGCAGCAACTTCGCCGCGGATCCCCACCACCACCACCGCAATCGAGATACGGCCTGGACAAGAAGAACTTTGACGATGAATACACATATGGCATGAACGACTCGTTCAATGCCCCTCAACCCACAGTCGCGCCTAAGCGATCTTCTTCACTCTCTTCGCAGAAACGGCTTCAACCTCTCGGGCGGAGTGACAGCTTCAATCAGCCTCCGACTAGGGATGGAACCCAGAGCTTCTACGATGACACACCATCAATTTCGAACTCACATCGTCGCAATGATAGCGCAACACCATCATCACCTGTTCTGCCCATAGAGGGGCAACGACGAAGTGCGTCGACTCGCAACACAAGATCAATGGACGGTGACGAGGAATCGTTGCGTTTCCCCGACCCTTCGCAGGAGCATTCCAGAAACCTCCCGCCTCCTCCAACATTCCGCCAGTTCCTCTCGAACAGACCTTCCATATCTCAACGACCTGGTTTCGGTGGTGCTTCTGCGGCTGCTGCAGGAGGTGGTTTTGCAAGTAGGTTCAGCTGGACAAACTCGCAGGCCCCTCAAACCCCACATGATCCCTCTCGCGACACTGCCACTCAGCCACTTGGTCGTGATAGCTTCATGACATCCCGTTCTTCCGTTCCACGTTTCCGCACAGTAGACTCTTGGGTGAACCAGCAATCCAACCGCGTCGAAGAACAACGCCTCAAGCAGCAGTTCCGCATGACGCAGTCCACCACTTACTCCGATGATGAGGTGCCTGAAATGCCCGCACTACCATCCGGCGTGCCCAAGAACGCGAGCGGCATAACTAGACAACCCAGTGCTGCAGGCTTGAGCCGCAATGGCAGCAAGAGCGGTCTGGTAGGGAGGGACATCAAGCACCAGAGGCACGATACACAGACTACGGCTCCTATCTTCAAGGCACACCCAGGCACTGAAGTGCGCTTCAGCACACGCAGCGCTGTACCTTCTGAGATCCTGGATAGGGGACGAGACAATTTCGCGCTATAAGCATTACGGCCCACCATCGTCGTCAACACTTTTGTATCTATCTCGTGCAGCCAACACGACACCAACATTTGCTAGCTCCTCTTTCGAGAAATTTCCTTGCTACTACCCCGTCATCGTCAAGCGTTGTCCGTTTACCAGCACAAGCATGTTTTTGCATTTCTGAGCGCGGCATTTGGGGGAAAAGGGGAACTCAGGGTTTGGGTCACAAAAGCGCGGGACAAACAGCTCACACAAACTGGAAACCTGGGGACAAGAAGAACGACAACAAACGAACCCTCATCCGCACAAACCTTGTCAGCCAAAGCCGCCAAGTGCTATCCCTTTTTGTATATCGCAATTTCTTGCTTTCAAGCTTCAGCTATCAAATATCCTGTAGAGTTCCATCTCGCAAACCTAGTAATATCCACATAAATTTGGCCTTTCTACCCGAAAGGTCTGTGCCATCTCCATTCCCCATGCAATGCTTCAGCGTGTTTGTGACGTCAGGTCGATCTTCACGGCACCACGGTTTGGCTGAAGGGCAGGATAAAGCATCACCCAGACGGTAGTTGGGGTGAAACAGCACAGCATTCCCCCTTCCCCAGCCTCGTCATGGCACGTCCACAGACCAAACGAACGCGCGCCCAGCTACAAGTAGGAAACGCCTGAAACTCGAGGACCAAAAGTATCCCGATGATCATACTCCGACCAGATGTGATTGATCCCCCACAAGCCACTGAAAAACAAGCATATAAGCTCCGGCTTGGCAGATTGTCCATGACATCTCGCGATCGATGTGTGAAGAGCAGGGCAGATTAACCACTTTAACCGACGGACTCTGTCTATGGCCGAGAATCCGAGACGGTGACATATTGTTGATGGGTGGAAGAGACGGGCTAGGGGGCATAATTGCGGATTACATTAGCATAGTAGACAAAGTGCCTCACATGTGTTTGACAATTGCATAATCAACAAAACAAAAGAATTGCGGAAGCAATGCGGAAACAACGCGGAACCAAGACCGTGTGCGACCATGCCCAGTGATCCCAAGAGTCGTGCCAAAGAATAAGATGGAGACATATTACATGCGTCGTACAGCTTAGTAGGCTGGACTGGGGCAAACGACGGAAAGAGTATAACATGGTTCAGGCAGACGTGAAAGAAAATTAAGGGACAAATCAAGTAGTTTCTTCTCAATGCCAGTTCCAATCATGGCCAATAATTTTCAATTGGACTTTCAGTTCGGTCCTATACTATGCGTACACATCTCTACTAAGCTCACATCCTTTGACCTCATTTCATCCATGCCTTGCTGATAAATCATGACCATGGTCATCATGCATCACCCAGATAGCTGTCCAACCAGGATATCCATTTCCACCTAACATGCGAAAACGCCCAGAACAATGCAGAAAGGGAAACCTGGAAACGGTGCCTATCGCCCGCCTCTGGCAACGTTTTCCAAAAAGCCCAAGAGGAAAGACTTATCTACAGGACTCTTGCCCTCGCTTGTGCTTCCCGCCCGGCTCTGCTGAGTACTCAGACCAACCACACTGACACCTTCATTCTGAGTTAGGCTGACTCCTGCATCCATCGGGCGACTTGTTGGTGGTATGACGATGCTGGGCGCTGTTCCGTCTCCGATGCTGCTGATTCGACTCCGGTTCGCATTGCCTTCTGGGCTGGTTGCACCTACACTGCTGTTTGTAGGCAATGGACTGACTGGGCTGATGACACCGGACATTGATGTCTTGGGAGTTGGTGGGAATGGAGAGCGAGCCGGTGGAACCGGGCTATGCGTTTGTGGTTTGGGGGATGGCGATGGTTTGTTACCAAAGAGGGAGAGCAGAGCGTTCTTCTGGTCTGCAGGTACTGATTCACGTCGGTCCATGTCGGATAGGGGTGGAGGAACTGGTGAGCGAGATGGTAGTACCGCCAGCTGGACAGGTGGAGGTTGCGGTGAGGCACTCTTGAACATGTCTAGCAAGCCTTGTTTGTGTGATGTCTCTCCTGAAGCTATAGTAGGATAATTAGTATGCTATTCACAGGAGATAGGCAAGAATGTGTATTTGTACATACCTGCCTGACCTGGTACCTTGATCTGCTGTTGAGGTCTCTTCAGAATCTGAGGCTGAAATGCGGTTTGCGGTGATGCAGATACTTCCACTGGCGGCGCAGGTTTAGGCGAGGCCTGCGGCGTACGTTTAAGTATCTGCTGAGGCATGAAGGGCATGTTGGTAGTCGGTGACGGTCCGCGTGAACTACCGTTCGTCGCCTGTCTGTTCTTCTTCATGGTGTCGAAATCCGGGGCATTGACTGGTCCGCTCACAGTAGCCGACGTCATATTTGTCTTACTCGATGGAGCGTGGAATACGCTAAGGAGAGCCGCATTGTGCTGTTTGGGTGGGTTCGCGACAGGTTGCGCGGAGACGTATGCTGGTGTTGTAGGGAGTGCAGACAACTCTGCAGGCGGGGGCTGCGGACTTGCCAGTGGCGGAGTGGATTTGAACATGCTCAATAATGAGTCTTGATGGGCATTCCTTGGCTTCGGTTGTTCGGGTTCAAAACTCGAACTAATAGGAGGTGATTGAAACTGCGGTGGACTAGGAGCGAATTGTGCCTGTGGTGATACGAGACCGTGCGGCCTGTGTTGAGGCATCGGATGCTGTATCCTCGGCGTTGTTTGCTGGCTTCGATGTAGCGGAGCAGCGATTGTAGTTTGAGGCGACGGCGGGAACGCAGGTTGCTGGTTGTCATTCTTGAATGAGTTCAGTAATCCCATTGCATGCGCATTTAGATTTGGGGCAGGTAATTTGGAGGCTGGTGGTATCGCTGGTCTGCCATTGCCGCCAGCAAACTGTGAGTCGCCCATCTCTTGGAACTGTGGCCGCTGGTTGTGTTGGTCGAATGCTTGCTGCATGTTAGGTGGTTGGGGTGGAAATATGTGCTGCTGCTGCTGCTGCTGGTGCATGAAATGAGGCGACATGTGCGGCGGTGGTGGTTGCATGCCGTTCATGTGGCCTGGATGCCCTCGGAATGGCATATTCTGGTGCGGTGGGAAGAAGGGCGGTGGCGGCCCCATGTTGCCCATTTGCGGAGGCCGAGGGCCGTGCTGACCATGTGGACTTGATGGCTGCACAGGCGGGGACATCATCTGCTCAAAGGGCGTCCTGGGTTGTTGATTTCCTGCATGTTGGTTGTTGCCTTGCTTGAACAGGGCCAAGAGCGGGTTTCCTTGAGGGGGTGGCTGGCTAGGGGCTTCCACTGGCGGTGACTGCATGCCGACACTGAGTAGGCGCTTGAGCGCTTCTGCCGGATCCTGACTCTGCTGTGGTGGTGGCGCCTGGTGCGCTTGAGATAGCTCTGGGTAGGAGTCGCTCGGGCGGTGGCCGCGACCCAATCGGGCCACCATATCTGCAAAGTTGTTGGCTACCTGCGCATCTGCGACGGGGGCAGCTTCGTCGGCCGTAGTCTCGTATAGATTGGGTTGGACATGTTCGTCGTCGGTGCCTGCCACTGGTGCCGGAGCCATGTGCGCGCTGTTGCGCTGTCTCTGCCTTCCCAGCTTGTGCTGCTGCTTTATCCACTGCTTCAGAGGCCCCAAGAAGGGCGCGACCATGTAAAAGCTGCTCTCCTTGATCAGATCGTTTCCGGTGCCCTGCTGCTGCACCTGGTTCTTCCGCCTCAGGGTGGGCAGATCGGTGAGCTTGTACCAGTCGATCTTTGAAATTTCCTTCCTCGTCCTCGGCTCGAAGTAAGTGTCCATGGGTACGCCGCGGAAGACGTACAGCATCATACTCTGTTCGCGCATCGTGACGGTGATCTTCTTCATGTGCTCGTCGGGCTCGACCAGGTCAGCCTCCCTCAGGTCGTAGCCCGTCTCTTCCCAGACTTCACGGACGGCGCAATCGAGATCCGTCTCTTCCTTGTTGATCTTGCCGCGGGGGAAACTCCACTTGGCGCCCTTCTTCCAGCCCTTAACCAGGACGGCGTGGGTCATGTCCTCGTTGAGCATGATGGCGCCGCGCACCGGGACCCGTGTCTTGTAGGCGAGGAACTGCTCGTAGGCCTGCTGGTGCAGCTCTTCCGAGTAGGCGGAGAAGAGGGGGCAGTGCTGGAACATGAGCTGGGAGAACTTGCGCAGGTGCATCGAGGGCAGGTTGTTGGGGTCGAGAGGGCGGATGAAGTCTTCGTAGAACCATTGGGCCTCTTCGATCTGGAAGCATATTCGCTCCACCGACTGCAGTTCTTCATTGGGCAGGTTGACGATGAAGCGCACGCAGAGGTCGTCGAGCCAGTCAACTAATGTTCGGTTTGTGTTTGTCATGGTGGATGGATGTCTGGCCCGTATCGAGCATACCGCGCACAGCTCGTGTCGCAGAGGGTGGGGAGATGTGCACTCGGGCACCAGTCCGTCAGTCGCGGGCGGCGGGCGGCGGGTAGTAGCGAGGCTTCTAGATGCGAAGATGGGCGCAGTAGTGAAAGGGTGCACAGCCGCAAAGAAGGTCGAAGAATGCGGCGTCGAGTCGGCGGTCGGCGAGCGTGTTGTTGATGTGTTGTCAGAGGCCTATCGGAGAGGGTCGTGGAGCGATCGACACCAAGTGTGGCGGCTGTGGCTGTGCTCGCAGGCAAAAGAAGGAGAGAGAGCGAGAGCCATGACGTTTGGCTGTCTGGGATCGCGTCACAGAATCAGGGCAGTCTCGCGCGACTCACCGCCAGCGCATGATGCGATAAGTAGGCTTGCTGCTCTTCACTTCTGCCGCTCCTTCACAACCCATTCTTCACTGCATATTTTGTACCGAGCTCGTCGCCAGTCGCACTCGCCAGCTATACATAGGGCAGCGACGCGCCCGTTTCACATTTTCAAACCAGAAGCGCCGTCCGCCAACCACGCAACAAGCGCGCTGTGAGATACCCGCACCCCACGCACTGTCTTTCAACACCAGAGACATATAAGCCTTCTGTGGCAGTCTCGTCCACAGCTGTATTCATAGCAGCCTGCACACTTCAACCACCCAGATTACCTCAGAAATTACCGCCCAACATGGCCGGCGTTGTCGCTAAGTACGCAATGAAGAAAGCCTTGGGCAAGGAGATGGAAAAGTACAAGTCCAAGGATGTATCTGGTCCATACGTTAGTAGCCACCTTCTCGCTTCCTACAGCTCGCACTAACTCTTCTGTAGGATCCATATTATGCGCTGGTTCCAGATCAGAGGAAGCCCCACAAGATGAAGAAAGTCAAGAAGCAGATCCCAGATTATCTTTCCGACAACGATGCCAACGTCCTAGCCAAAGCCCGCAAGACCGCCTACAGGCTGGACTACGCCCTCTTCACCTTGTTTGGAATCCGATTTGGTTGGTCTTCCGTCATTGGCCTTGTCCCCGCCGTGGGTGACGCCGCAGGTTCGGCCTTGGCTCTGAACCTCGTTCGCAACATGATGAAGGTCGACGGCGGTCTGCCAATGACCGTCCTCATCATGATGCTTTTCAACGTCGCCTTTGACTTCCTGATCGGTCTTGTTCCCTTCCTTGGCGACCTTGCCGATGCCGCAGTCAAAGCCAATGGCAAAAACGTTCGTCTACTCGAAGAGCACTTGGACAAGCTCCACAAGCCAAAGTCACTTGTGGACAGAGATTCCAAGCTACCGAGAGAAAGGCGGCCGCGTCCTGCCTCTGTCTATGTCGACTTTGACGATGAGATTGATGAGCGCCGCAACACTTTTGAGGACGATCACGATGACGTTCGTCATCCTCAGCGTGCCTACGGTGGAGGCCGTATCCAAGATGAGGAGATGGGCGGACGACAAGATACTCACCGATCCCACCGGGACGACAGGCCCAGCCGAAACAACACTAGGAGTAGCAGACGCTGATGAGTTTCTTTGTGTACTTTTATTGCGTCATGTTCCGTTACTAGGCCGCTGTCTGCATATAATGCATTGCGTATCCGGCGTTGGTGGTTTCTCGTACTCTCTTTAACACTATACCCTAAGTACTGTTGACTGTACACAACAATATTATGTATACTTTGTAATTTCTCTCATGTATCACCTGCATCCCAGGTTCTCTTTTCGTTTGTCGTTCAAGCTCAGTCACCTTCGTCCGTGGGACAGGAACACCCAGCCCCCGCGACAGAGCCTACTTGAACCACCACTCTGTGCTAATGGCAATCCTCGCTCGTGTCTTGCCAACAAATATACTATCTAATTCACGCACATGTCTGTTCGCTTTGTCGACGGTCCGTGCGCAATTTCATTCACGTACGTCTACTACCCTGCGTTCGTGCGAGAAGTTCAGCGATCGCACTCTGATTAGCTATCGAGGCCAGTGCTGTGACACCTAGACCTAATCCTCCAGCCCTCACACTATAGCGCTATTAGAGATAACCTTATTTTGTGGCTACGTGCTTAGTTCTTTGGTTTTAGCATCTCTGCAGCAGCATCAGCAGCAGGTGCGGCTGAGGTCCAGCCAACACAGCAGAAGTTTTACCCCGCTCACTATTGAACATTCTTTCTTTTTCTCTACCAAGCCAAGTTGCCAAGTGTCACAAACGACATTTTTGCACTTCTTTGCGGCTTCCAAATCGTGCTGTTGGTTTCTGCTCAACCGTACTTCTCCAAACTCGAGGCGACAGGACGAATGCGACCGGCCATCCCTCAACACCGAGCTTAGGCCATCATACGAGGCGCTTCTATAGGTCTCCAGATCGAATTGGTGATCCACATCTCACACTATCGCCTCCATCTTGCTAAGACGTTGAAGATTGCCTGAGCATGGGTTTCAGCTTGTTTAGGCACACTGCACAGCTCTAAGCGAAAGGTACGTATTAGCGCGGTCATTGGGAGCCGCCACACCAACGAGATCTACATTTAGCAGTGGAGATCGTGGTCAATCAAAGCTAGAGTATTGACAAGCTAAAGCGACACCTGATGATGAACCTGAAATATCTGGAGGTATCTGCACATCTACTCTTCTTGTCTCCATATTCTCCCACTTGGACTCTGAGTTCCACAGTTACCTGGGCGATAACGAGCATCCAGAAATTCCTGTAGCTCAGCCACAATCATTTTCATCATGGCTAATCAAGACGCCACTGATCTGGGCATCCTCTGGACCAGGGCGGTTGATAAATACACCCAAAAGACTGGTCAAAAGTTGGCTCACTTGCGGGGCCAAAGCATCAGCGATGTGATGCAAACAACAGCAGTCGAAAAGAAACGATTCGAGAGTTACCGACACGACAATGGAAAACTTGACAAAGTGCGAGCAGCCTTCGGACGCCATCTCGACGGCATGCAAAAATGCCTTGATGGTGTACAGACGATAGGCGAGGCTGCATCTGCTTTTCCTCCAGCTATGCCTGTGGGAATCATCTTTGCTGCTTGTGGTCACATGTTCCAGGCGTTCGCCGGAGTCCAAAAGGACTACGATCAGGCAGAAGCTTTCTTCGATCATTCACGCCGATTTTTTGACAATCTGACTCTCCTCGAGGGCAAAACAGATCCGAGACCATTAGCCAAAGCTATTGTTCGCACTTTCGCGTCTCAATTGGTGATTTGTGGTATCGTGCAAGATATGAAAAACAATGGGCGCTTCAAGCAATGGCTCAATGCACTCTGGAACCTCGAAAGTCCAGAGCTTGCTGCTGCATACGCTGAGATGCAAGCTTCTATCGAAGAGTTAGGTGCGACTGTTGGCTACGCGACTTACAGTGCTATTCGCGATGCCTACGAGGAGCTCAAGGCGACACACGAAGATGTAGGGGAAATCAGCGAGAAGATTGACGAGCTAGACGCTAACATCAGTCGCGTTCGAGAATCAATGGGTGAACAGCTGCAGACTTTGTATGCCAGCAATCTTGGCCTTGACAAGAAGATCACAGAAGGATTTGATGGTGTTCAAGCAAAACAAGACGAGGCGTACGCTGTACAACTACGCATCGCCCAAATGCAGGAGAACCTACTCAATGCATTCGAAAAGGCATCGATGCCTGCATCATCCGATACGAAGTCTCACTCCGGAGACCTACCGAGAGACAGCGCAAATGAGAAGGCTCAAGCCTTGGATACTGTTAAAACGTTCTTCATCGGAAATAGTATCCTCTTTCCGAGAATTGAAAAGGTTCTTGACGCGAATCGAATAGAAAGGGAACGCATTAAGCGACAACGTGTCGGTGATAGTGTCGCATGGCTTGCAGAGCATCCAAACTTCACCCGATGGCTTGATGGTCAAGTCACCTGCCTTAAGATCTGTGGTTCTACTGGAATGGGTAAAAGTTTCTCGATGGAGGCGGCAATTGATCTGGTGCAGCGATCTACAAACCCACCATCTGATGTTGCATATTACTTCGTACAACCAGATCTTGACCTTCCACAATCAACAGAGGCAGCCTTAGCATGTGCAGCCTTGCAGGTGGTTGAAGCTAATCATCGCTACGCTGAGCGAGTCGCGTCTGACATAAAAGAGGATGTTCAAAAGCTTGTGAACCGTGTCAACAGGTTGGTGTACTGGAAGACAAGCGGCGTTATCGAAGCAGATACCTCCACAGACTTGGTTGATGTCCCAATATGGAAACGTTTCTTTACGTCCGGATATACGGAAATCGCTTCATCAAAACGTCGGCTGTTTCTAATCCTGGACGGTATGGACGAGCTTCCAAATGGCCTTGATCAACTTGTAGCATTCTTACTCGACCTTCAACGATCAGAGGCACCTATTCACGTGCTACTTTCCACTCGAGACGCGGCCTGGCCATCTGACTCACGAATTCAGACAGTCACTATCGATCTGACAAGAGATTTGATTGCTCCAGGTCTGAAATCTGTAGTCAAGCATCGGTTACAGTCTTCGCAACGACTGCGGAGCTTCAGTACACAGCTGAAGCGAAAGATATATCGTAAAATTGTCTCGCAAGCTGACAGCATGCTTTACGTGGAGCACATATTACGTAGGCTTTCTCATATCAGCCGCGAGAGTATTGTCAACAAGGAGTTGGAGAATCTGCCTAGGGGTCTTCCTGAGGTATATTCATCCTTGATGGAAGAATGTGGAAGATATCGTTCGAAGAAGCAGTTAGAAGGGCTGAGGACGCTCTTCGCTTGGCTTGCTTTCTGCAAGCGACCTCTGACGCTAGGAGAGGTTATAACCCTGTTCAGGGCATCTGAGCCGAATGAAGGCCTCAAACTCGATATCGAAGAAGAAATCACCGTCAAATGTTCTAGGTAAGGGCTACATTAAAAGCGGCAAATCTTGTTCTTACTTAACGTGGACAGTATTCTTGAGTTATCACAATCTCATGTTAGGGGCATTGATACAAAGGCGACAAGCCAAGAAGATGTTACTGAGTTTGACGACGATCAGTCGAGCGATGACGATGAGATGGACGTAGAGTTGTTCAATGCGGCTAATGTTGCTTTTGCGGACCAGCCATTGCGGCGATACTTCAGAAGCGCAACGTTGGCGTCAGCAACCGATCTGAAGGATCTTCGGATTGCAGCTCCGCAGGCCCATCTGAGGCTGTTCTCGGCATGTATCGACATCATTACAAAGACAACAAACCAAGCAGAATCGCAGCAACACATTCAAGAATACGCCGTCGTGTACTGGAAAGAACACTTTTGCGAACTCAATTCAGAGGAATCCTCTGAATCAATGGCTTGCCAGGTGGTGTGTGCTTTGTATTTGCTGATGGCCAACGTAGACCCGTATGCGCAAGTTCTGTCTAGGAAACATATATCGCCCTCTGAATTTTACCCCGACCGCACATCTTCCACGATCCCATGGTATGAACGCATCCTCGCTTGGACGCAACAAGGACTTGAGTTACCGGCTGGCTTACTCCCCCCGCACGTTATGGAATGGGCGATGAGCATAGACCGAGAGAGCATTCTACTTACATTTGGACGAGGGCATTACAATGTCTGGATGCATAACGCCAACGATACATCTCCCAGGGGGTATGAGCTTGCGCAGCGCTGCGTCCAACTTGTATGTACTATCTACGCAAACTGATAGGTCACACTAATAAGAGTTAGGCTGGTGTACTTGACTGTGCAATCGAAGACGATCCCATGAAGGACGGCTTGTCTCTTGTTCATTATTTTAGTCCAGGAAATATGAATACTGATGTTCTTAGGGCACTTGGACTACTTGCCTGGGCTCAATTTTGGAAGTTCGACTTCAAAGGGAACCGTACCGCAAAGAATAACGTCATAAAAGAAAGCAGCAGTTACCTCCAAAGAAGTCTAGAGTCGATGCACTCTTCCGGAATGGAAAGAGTTCGGTTGATACGCTTGCTATATTTCAATAGAAATACCGTTGGAGCATTTGAATCGACACAAATGCTCAAGTGGGCGGATGAAGGGCTAGCCATACTGGACAGGCTCGATCCACTTGCTTCTTCAGTCCAAGAGAAACAAGAAATTCAAGAGAAACGGAGAGAGCTTCTGACTCGCAAGATCATGTCTGGTTTGATGCCATTAAACCAGTGGGAAGAGCTTCACGAAGCATGCAAGTTATACCGAGCAAAATATGGCTTGGCTGCCTCGCTCCCGCAACAAGACATGATGGAGGCGTTCATCACCGCCTGTGATAAATTGGATCCCAGTGGTCGGCAAAGAAAGCAATTGATGCAGAGTCTTTCAAAGAAGGAACGACAAGTCTGGTTGGGATGGCTGTTCAACAGGATCACAACCTCGGTTCAACGGAATGCTACGCGGATCAGCGATTGGGCGGGAAGTGAAGACGTGCATCTTTGGATAACGTGGCTCACAGAGTTCGAGAAATCGCGACCTTGGCGTCCATTCTACGGATTGAAGAAACGCAATGTACTATGGCCAGACCCATATCAACGCCTAGTAGCACTGGGATGTCTCGCTCATCTATACTTCGAGAATTTACACGACGCGGAGCAAGCAAAGAAAATTCACCGAAAGATACTCGCTTTGGGGGAGCCGAAAGTTCAGGACAGAAAGTTTGGAATGAAACGTGAGGTGGAAAGAATCCGCAATCGGCACGTT